AAGTCAAAGAAAATATCGATATCAAATATGTCAACTAGGTCTAGGAGTGTTTATACGTGAAACGAGACGCTATTGCAATGACAAAACGCTGAGGTAAATGAGCTACGTGCATGGGAAAAACCTCCAGCGGTAGAAAACGTGTACCGCAAACGTCAAACGGCAAAATTTCAACGTCAATTAAACCGCGGTTTGCGGTTCGCAGTTGAAGAAAAAACGTCAATGTAAAACTCTCTAATATAACTATATAAGCGCGAATTCCAAAGGCAAAGGAAACTGAGTGTAAGACAAAGTGAACGTATCATGCGGTTTATTTACATTTTTTAACAATTGAACTTCTACACTTTTTAAAGTACGATGTGCTTCTGAATTTTGCGATCGAACACCATTTAGGTTCGCAAGGCATCTAAATGAGTATGAACTGTATTGTTTATGTTCAGAAGCTTTATATTGAAGACTGGCACGTGCGCGGCACGCCGGAGTTAACGCCAGAACATGCATGCAGGCGTCTTGTTTTAAAAATTTATTTTGTACATATATATAGGCTTATTTCTCATCGCTACCTCATTTTTTCTCAGACTAGAACAAATTTTGATTTAAATGTTTCTTGGTCGAAAGATTTATAACCTTACTTTTGATGGATAAGAAACGGGTCATTGAATAACTTCGTCCAAGAAAATTCTCTGCAACGCACGTATAATTTCCAACAGAGCTGTTGGTCACATTATGTGTTTTAAATATCTTGCCGGTTGCAATCACAGTTCCGTTGCGGAGTATTTCATATGTTGGTGGAGGAAGAGCGTCAGCATCGCATGTTATGATAAATGAATTACCAGCATAAGTAACTTTCAAACTTGTCCCTCCAGGTGGATCTGTCAATGAAATAATTCTAATTTGGGTGAAAATAATCTCCATACCGTAAAATAATTTACTCTATCGTAAAGTTTACTACATATGATTGCGTTTCAGTTATAATTAACCCGATTTAGAACAACTATTTTGAAATTTTTATTGGGACTGTTTTAATTACATGGGCCTGCGGTAATTGAAAATACATATAAAACTATTTACAGTATTTACCTGCATCATACGAATGTTCCTGGCCCCAGATGTCATATTTATCATACTTACAATTAACATTGAAGATAATTTCTGTTTCATTTTTGGCCTCTTCGTGGCCGCTTTTGGCTTCGCACGTGTAGCTTCCATTGTCGTCTTTAGTGACATTTCTAAGACGTAATGTTGCTTCTTCAACACCAGTGGCCATTGTTTTGTTTTCTTTATACCAAGTAACTTCAGCAGGGGGGTTGCCACCCTCCCCTTTACATACACATGTAAAATCATCGCTTGTATTCACTGTGGTCACACGGGAACAATTGATCCACACCGATGGTGTAACTGAAGAATTAGACAAAAAAATTGTCGCATAGGCAAATAGCTGCTATAATTTGACAGAATTAGTCGCCTAAATAAATCAGTAACATTTAAAACATAAATCTGGGAATTTGAAATGGGTTCTAATCGTAAAGTTTATATGATATTGGTCATAGATAAGACGCTCGTCTTTGGTTTCCGCAACCCGGCTTTTTTCAGACAATTGTGCCGCTAAGATACAACTATATAAGCCTGATTTCAGGACCAAATGTCTCTTGTATTTTCATAAAACGGATATTGATAAAAAAATTTTATCAAAACAATAAATGGCTTAGCTTTGGCATACAAAAAATTGTACCATAAGAACATGTTTTGCTTTGCCACTTAATGCGCGGTTATAAAAATTTTCCACCGAAACTTGCCTGCAATATAAACCACAACTTCAGAACTCCCGCTGCCTGATCTTGCTGCAAGGCTAAGTTTATATGTTCCATTGTATTTCTCCGTGACATTGTGTAAAATCAGGGTTGCTGGAGTTTTTACTGACACTCGAGGTAAACTGCTGTTTAGTATGAGAGGGGGGTCATTTACAATGATTTCCGCAATTCCTTCCTCAGCTGACCCGTCACTACTTTTAAAATTCCAAGTCCGAAATCTAATGCCAGATACACCATCTAATGACCACTGTAACGTCGCTGTTGATCCGTTTAAAAATGTCAACCTGGTTCCTCCTGGTGGAGGATTCACCTCTCCTAAGAAAAACAATAAACTACCGCTTTCAACGGTTCCCATAGTAATTTAAATAAATAGATTGGTATTGCATGAACTATTAATATAAAACCCAAATCCATATATAAGGTATAAATGTTTTTTTTAAAGCACGATGTTCGTGTCCGGTTTGCCAAACTCATTCCTACAAGATTTCCCTATAAAAAAACGCTAATGTCCAAGCAACGAGATTGAGGTTTTTTAGGTAATTTTTTACTCATGCACCTTGTATTAACTATTTTTAATCTTGTAGGATTAAAATGAAATCGAGTTGTTTAGGAGAAATGCATTTTCTACTTTGTAGGGAAAGAAATAAACCTCGCGTTCATTAAGTAATAGTTGGACGCAGTACACATGCAGTATACACAGACAAAAAGTATAAATCCATATCGACTAGATCACATTACAAGATACGCAGTCTATAACATTCGAAGTCCTGGGTCGAGCGTCTTTATACATCCGATGCATGCTAGAATTCCTGAGAATAGCATTTCGTTAATCATTACACGAAATATGATAAGGACAAGCTTGGAACATTGTTAAAAATCATCTTTATACAACGGGGCTATTTCAGCTGGGACTCTCTTTGGGTGATTTACCAACTGTACGATTTTCTAAGTCTGTCTTAATTTATTCCTTCCCATCATGCCTCTATAATATCCACGTATCAGGGACTGTCTTACTTTAAAGAAGTTTCAAATAGCTCACATTGACAAGTATATATAGTTGCAGTATAGCAAGGAGAACGTTAAAGCAGACTTACCACTACACGGAAACAAGATGCAACCGAATATAAAAATAATAACACTAAAGCCAGACATGTTTTTGAATATTCGATCTAAAAGAAAACCAAAACAATGTTTGCTTATAATTTCCCCTAGAAGGCTACAGTTCAGTACGCTTACAATCAGTACGCTTATGTGCGACTATATTATTGTGATTCATTGCAATATTGGAACAAAAAAGGCCCAATAGACAATAAATAAATGTTATATATATTATCTGAAAAGTTCATTGCAAAGGCTTATACCTTGACATTGTTGATCTACAAAGGTTTTCGGTTTATAAAAACATTAATTTGCATAGCCGAGGAAGTTGCCCAAAATATACGTCGAAACTCTAATTCTATAGTTCTATAGTATGGACACTGTTTAAAAATTAATCGATGATATAAGGGTGAGATACATGCACCAAATGAACAACGGTGGGTTCAACAAGGGTTCCCATTCCATAATTTCCAAGAGCTATATTTCACTTTAAATTGGATATAAAAATTACATGATATACATATCACATATTATGTATCAAATATTCGTCAATGTAAGGGCTGTTTTCAACTTCAACCGTACCGTAGCGACACGTAGCGTGTATCATTCTTTCCTGGCCACTCATATATAGAACTAATGACTTTGAAACAAATAAATACACTACGGTTCGCTACGATTGAAAAGGAAACAGGCTTAAAAGACACACTAAAGACTTGGTATCATATTTCATCAATCTTAAACGTTGAAGACTGAAGACTGCTAATTCCATAACCCAAAAGACTCTTAAAAGAGCGATATGTATAAGTAAATGTATTTATTTTTATTTGTCCTTAAATTCTGTATTTTATTGTTTAACTCCTGCGATCTATAACTCGGAACTGTTGCAGGAAATTTTAGTAAACATTACAGGGAACAGATCATGAGTTATATCACTTGGGTCCTCAATACTACAGCAAGCCGAAGTTTTAATATTTTGAGGTGGTTTAGATTTTGAAGGTACATCGATATATATCATACATAACTATACATTGGAGAATTATCTCCTAGCAATCTAATGCACAAAAGTACTGTCTATACATATCAAATAATGCTTACATTGGATCCAACAATTAGGCTAAGGCAATGTTACCTTTGGCGATGATTTCCTTGGCTATTACTATAATGAAAATTCTCTTCGAGTCCAAATTACTTCCTGGTACATTGACGGTGTTTTCATCGACAGCACATTATGCGCAGCTTCTTCAACATAAAACTGTTTAGGGAATTCCTCAGGAGGTGTTTAAAATTCCTTATGGTAGTTACAATTCCTCTAATTCATAATTCACTTCCGCTTCATGCATACCATCTGCATTGCTATTATTGATGAATAAACCAAACTCCTGTAAACGGAGTATTACCAATACCATACGGCATCATCTTATTTTTCATCTTATTTGCCACCTCAAATTTTCTCGAAATGCAATGCCAATGACAGAGAGCAGAAAAACTAAAAAATTACTTTGCACGTTATTTACCAGATTCAGGTGGTCCGTATATAGGGAAATATTTCCCAAGGTCTCAAAAACAGCCCGAGGCCGAAGGACGAGGGACGTTTTTGAGACCGAGGGAAATATTTCCCTATACGGACTGACTAAACTGGTAAATAATAGATTTCATTTTTTTCTTGCGGTCCGAATTTATATTTTAGCGTCAGCTCTGTGCTTTTGAATCTCGCGCAATCCGTACGGCCTCATACGGACCGCTCACGTAGCCAATCAGATTGCAGGAAACGCTAAAATATGAATTCGGACCCAAAAAAAAAATTATATTGGATGGGCATTTATGATATCATGAGATATCAGTTTTATATATGTTTTTATATGTTTTTATGATATAGTTTGTATGATCAGTTTTTATATATGTTTTTATATGTTTTTTTTTATGATATATGTTTTTATACGTCCCAAAGTACTTTCATTGTTATTCTTTCCAGTTACTCCATATTTTTACTTGTGATAATAAAAAAATTAGCAGTATAATGCCTGTGATAATAAAAAAATTAGCAGTATAATGCCAGTCACTGGTCGTACATTTTGTAACTCAGATGCTCCAGTTTTAAGTTAAAGATTGATAATTGTCATCGACATCCCTGACTTTGTTCAACTCGGTATAATTTGACTCATCGTCATTCACACCGTCATTTCTTACAGCATTTACTCTCAATGTTTGATAATTGTCTTCCTTGTTCATTTTCTTAAGGACCAGTTCTTGATAAGTTGAATCAACTTGAGGTGTTGGAGGTTCAGGTTTTGATTTGGATTTCCTACTTTTGAATTTACGACGAGAATATGAGACAATGTAAGAAAAAAGAATTCCAGCGATAAATCCAGACGCTAATATTACCAGAATAATATACCATTCAGTTTTACAGTTACAATCTCCGTTTCGAAATTTTTCTAAAAATTAAAATGGATATGGCCAATTTAATCACAGTTCCTATATTATATTATTAATTAAATTTTTTTCATATTTATAAGACCGAGAAGGAATATATTTGCACATGTATATATTTTGCAGAAATACCAGCACTTGTCGAAGGGGTGGTAGGATCACTATTAGGCTCCTTCCTTACGCTCATAATACAACGTGGTTTCGTGACTTTGTTGTTGCTGTCGTTTTTGTTTTAGTGATGCCATCGTTATGGGAATCGGTCATAAATTTTGATGAAATTTTGATGAAATTTATAGTTTCTCCCAAATATAGATGTATATTACACAGAAGTCGTAGTCTCTATGAGTTATTTCCAGATGATTCCTTGACTTGTTAAAAAGTAACTGTTTTGCGAGCGGTAAGGGTTTATATGACGGAAAAAAATTAAGTTAAGGCTGAGTTTCATTCGTACATACTATTTTTGAATTTTACAAAAAATTTACGATATTTGCACATTTTTGCTAGTTTATTTGTCTACTATTGCCAAATTAAATAATTGTATTAATGTCCCTTATTTCATGCAGAGTTTGGTAATTTTGTAGTTTTTGCGGATATTATGTATTGTATAAGTTTTACACAATCATGATACTTTTTTATTTGTATTGTTGCTACAGTTCTTCTGTAGTGATCCAAAAAAAACCACAAACGCCTTTATATGAATATATTTAAATCCCAATATACCTTAAGAACCTTTTGGTTCTTCTACGGTAAAAAAAACCTAAAATGCAATATGGCGGCCTTATTTTCCCGTTATTTGATTAGTTACCGCGCATGCGCATGGGTATGGTGGGAAAATTACGTACGGTAGCTACATGTATATTTGTATAAATACCTAATCCATCACTTGTCGATAGCGTCGTAGGACTACCAGTAAGCTCATTTCTTGTGTTCAATACCGTTGCTTTTCCCTTCCTCGTAAAGGTGCTAAGGTTTTGTCTTAATGACTTAATTGTCGGGGTTGTCGTTAGTGTCAGTGACGCCATTGTTATGGGAATTGGTCCTAAAATTTTGTCGAAATTTATGCATGGTAGTTTCTTGGTAATTGATAGTATCTAAAACTAATTGTTAAATAAGAGTTTATATAGTGGACAAAAACAATTTACGAGACTAGATAATATCTTTGTATTTTACCAAAAAATAATGCATTCCTCTTCCTCTGAAATGTTCTGGGTAGAACAAATTTTGATATAACGTTTCTTAATTCAAGAATTTTATAACCTTACTTTTGATTGTTAGGAAACGGGTAATTGAACAACTTCGTCCAAGAAAATTCTCTGCACAGCACGTATAATTTCCAACAGAACTATTCGTTATTTCATGTATTGTAAATATCTTGCCAGTTGCAATCACAGTTCCGTTGCGAAGTATTTTGTATGTTGGTAGAGGAAGAGCGTCAGCATTGCATGTTAATGTGGCTGATGCATTAACATAACTAAATTTTAAACCTGTCCCTTCAGGTGGGTCTGTCAAACAAATTAGCAAAATGAGAAAAGTATCTTCAATTTTTTTTAGAATGTGCTCTACCTATGGGTAATCATATGCGTCCCAGTCATTTCTTAGGTATATATTTTTTGTTTCAAAGAGATTACAAGCAAGTGGGGATGGCCTGTATAAAAAATCCGTAAGAACTAAAAAAGATTACTGAGTAGATTGTTGACCTGCAGGAATTGGTATGAAAGTAGAAAAACAACGTTTTTAAACTTGGATATTTGATGAATCAATAGACCATGTGTGAAATAATAAATAGCCCCATCATCCGGATGTGGGTAGGGCTACACTAATAGAAATAAGGAATAAAAGTATGACTGCATGCAGTTCAATAAACGTTATATATCCTTTCAAAATTTCAACTTGAACTCTGAGAGCACAAAGGATTATTACTTGGACAGGTAATCTCAGGAATTTGGCTTTGCAATAATTCCTAGCAAGGTGAAAGATTTAAAAAAGAAAATTTACTATTTGGTGAATTTACTGGGATTACGCACATCCCTGACCCCAGTGGTCGTATTTATCATACTTACAATTAACATTTAAGAAAATTTCTGTTTTATTTTTTGCCTCTTCGTGGCTTTTGGCTTCGCACGTGTAGTTTCCACTGTCGTCTTTAGTGACATTTCTAAGACGTAATGTTGCTTCTTCAACGCCAGTGGCCATTGTTTTGTTTTCTTTATACCAAGTAACTTGTGCAGGGGGGTTGCCACCTTTCCCTTTACATACACATGTAAAATCATCGCTTGTATTCACTGTGGTCACACGGGAACAATTGATCGACACTGATGGTGTAACTGAGCAGTGACATAAGTAATATGACATAATTATCCTTATCATTTAGTTAAAAAGTAAAAATATTTTGAATATATGTTCCTATTAAAGGTTATAAGCCATAGAATGACTGAATCGCGTCTCCGGGTAAATCGCGGTGTAGGCCGGTATAAATTGCAAACAGCAATATACGTTATTTTGAATCGAAACTTGCCTGCAATATAAACCACAACTTCAGAACTCCCGCTGCCTACTCTTGCGGAAAGGGTAAATTTGTATGTTCCATTGTATTTCTCCGTGACGTTGTGTAAAATCAGGGTTGCTGGCTTTTTCACTGACACTCGAGGTAAGCTGCTGCTTATTATGATAGGGGGGTCATTTACAATAATTTCCGCAATTCCTTCTTCAGCTGACCCGTCACTGCTTTCAAAATTCCAAGTCCGAAATCTAATGACAGATACACCATCTAATGACCACTGTAACGTCGCTGTTGATCCGTTTAAAAATGTCAACCTGGTTCCTCCTGGTGGAGGATTCACCTCTCCTAAACAAAAATCTTTACAGTTTAAACGGTTTCGGGAATTATTCTTGTATTTCGGTACAGGGTCCTGGAAGCAGTTTTGGGGGGGGGGGGGGGGCGGGGGAGGGTTTTAGAAAAGGGCACTTATCTTAGCAACATGCGGGTTTGCAAATCCATGGGAGAACGCATTCCAATAATATTATCGGTTAGTTTAATTGCGTCGTAATTATAGCATATCCTTCAGCTAAAAATTAAGATCAAATTACCGGGTATTGTAAAAAGGGCACGGGCCTGCCCCTCTCATCTCCGTAAGGAAAGAGCAGTGGAGACAGCTGTCCCCGAGGTTCCAGTGCCGCGGTGTGGGAGCGTATAAAAGATCAGCTGCGAAAAGCTAAGCAAAGTCATTAATAGTTTATTATTAGTCAGATTTACCACTACATGGAAACAGCAAGAAACTGAAACCAAATGAAATAACAATACAAAAGCCAGGCATTGTTTTGAATGTTCAATCTAAAAGAAAAAAGTGAAAATGTAACTTTTAACATGGGCATCTGTTTTTTTTTGTACAGACCAAAACGACGGTAAACGAACCCTTTCCTCGCAATAGGATCGTAATACTAATAGAATTGAACATGTGGACATTGAATGTTATGTGATCCAAGTTCATTAATTCATGCATGATAAGTAACGTGCATGATAAGCTATTACTTGACAGTTCCTTAACGAAAGATAGTCAATAGACAATAGGCAATATGGCGACCGGACGCTCCCATTTTTACTCTTCAAGTTTTTGCTTTTTATTTTTTTTTAAAGTCATCCTTACTAGCTTGACTAATCGCATAAGTGGTTGGAAGAAGACATACTTTAACGATGGGGATGTTTATTTTGTGGCTCATTTAAACAACCTAAAATAGATCATCTAAACAACTGTAGTTTACGTAACAAGATTCGACACGCTTCGCTTGGAGCTCCGAGATAATGTTATAGATGTATTGACATTGTCGGAAACCTGGCTGAACTCGACGGTTCAAGATGGAGAAATATAGCTTCCTGCTTATACATGTGTAAAGACCGTTTTCCACTTCAACCGTATCGTAGCGAAACGTAGCGTATCTCATTGTTTTAAAGTCATTAATTCTCGTCGAATGCTTCGGAAACAAAGAAATACGCTACGTTACGCTACGATTGAAGTGGAAAACAGGCATAGGGATGGGCAAACTGGTGGAGAGGTTATAATTTATATACGAGACGGTTTACCATTTGTTGTACGAAACGACCTCTGCAATGACAGAAATGAGTTTTTGTGGATCGAGCTAATTCGCAAAGTTTTGCAAGCCCACTATACAGGGTGAGTAAAAAAAACTGACACCTTTGAAATTCAAATTAGCCGCATATAACAGCTTGCATGTAATGTGACAGAAGTTGCCTAAAATATCTCATGGGTATACGAAGCATATCCAATAAGTGAATCATTATATAATTAAGACATGCAAGAAATGAAAGGCGATGAAACATTGTGAAATTCTGTTACATTGAACACATCTCTTGAAGGAAACATCAAAATACCAAGCTCATCCTTCAATCATGTAGTTTATAGTGCATAGGATGATTAAATCTTGAAACTTCAAAGTTAAACCATTCACAGGAGGTGTATAGGGCTGTTACAAAATGTCGAAAAGTTTATTGCACCGATGAATTCCAAGGTTAATGGCCCGAAAGTGGTGCATATAATAAATACATGCACGTAGCTACATGGCAAATTAAGGCCTTTAATACCTATTTTGCTTCAGTCGGAAAAGTGCTTGCTGAGAAATTTACCTATTGTCTCACCTTAAGTACTAACAAGAATAACAACCATACTATCGAGAATGCAGGGGGTTTTCAGCTGAGTGAAGTGCGTGAAACATTAAGATTAAGATCGACTTCCACTACGATTACCGATACCAATAATCAGTCACGCGCATGCGCAGACGTAACAATCGTCCAAAATTCGACAACAATGGAAGTAGCGAGTACCTTTTGGGGGCTGAAAATGGAAGTGGATAGGTAGGCGAAGTACCGAACTCTCGAACGAAGAACTCTCCTGACGAAGGCCCTCAGGTCGAAACGTAGAGAAGTATTTTGTCTATTTTGTGTATATGCAGTTGTTATACCACATTTGATGCTAGTTTATGGCTTAATTAGCAATATCACTTACGTAAGCAGAAACAAAATTCTAGTTAAATATTTAAATGCTATATCTATATATTGCATTCCCAATAATACAAAACGCCAAACTATATATATGGTTAAACTGAAGGTAAATATTTGGAGGTGGTTAATATTTGACTATTATTCTCTAGTCAAACGAGAATGACAGTGGACGAGAGTTGCAACTCTCGCTAGCGTTTGACCGTGAACTCTCATGCATATCGTGCACTCTCATCAACTCTCATTGACCTGTCTGTGATTGTGGGCTGGTTCAAATTTTGATGAGAGTTCGGGCGCATTTGATCGATCATGAGAGTTGATGAGAGTTGCAAAACAGCTAGTGCAACATTAATACAAAATAGTATAAAATAGTCCCTGCTACGCGCGCGGTAACATCTGGTCAACTCTTGCTTCTCAACTTTCATCAACTCTAATCCTCGTTTGACCATCTCGTTTCTCAACCCTCAATATATTGCCTGGCAAGCTATATATACAACTCAACCTATAGCGAATAATGCTTACCTTGGATCCAAGAACTAGGCTAAGAAAATGTTGATTTCAGCGATGTCTTTCTTGTGTATTATTATAATGAAAATTCTGTTTAGGTTCAAACCACTTCCTGGTATATTAGCGGTGTTTATCAAAAGCACATTATTTCGTACGCAGCTTCAACCAGTGGCGTCAACAAAAAATCATTAAATTCCTTCGGAATTTTTTAAAATTCCTTATAGTAGTTCCACTAATTTCCTCGGGTCGCAAAACACGAGTTATAATTTCGTCTTGGTGGGTCGCGTCTCGTGTGGAGCTTTTTGTCACGTAACATAGACCTAGTACGTCACTGGTACATCACCATGCACTATTCTACTAATCGAATTTCTTTCTCGTTAAGTAACTTGGGATAACAATAAACTTTTATTATCTTTCGGAGCAATTATTTAAAGGAAAATAGATAACATTCATATCAGTAAACATGCATGATAACTAACCATGCACTAGAACGATAAAGTGTTTTTATTTCGTTGTAAATATTTTACCTAGTCCTAGGAGCTGAACTTGAAGTAGCTAATAAAAGTTTTGACTGCCTGTACTGAATATAAAACTTCCACGATTTTTTAAAAAAAACAGTCATATTACTTGCCATATGCATTTACTTTATTACGAAACTAAAGTAAAGGGATGGCAATTTTAGTTCACTAAAATGTTTTGCATATACTGTATATTCATATATTAAGGCTATGTGCACACGAGCGTCGTTTTCGAAATCGTTTTTACCTGTTTTAATGCTTTGACGCATTCTCCATACGATTCAAGGGACTATATGCTCAATATGTTAAATTAGCTTCAACTGCTTGGCCATTGCTGAGTCTGACTACACAATGATAATACGACCGAACGCCACTAATACGTTATTTACCGCGTTGGTCGGTCCAGAAAGAAAAAAATATTTCCCCTCGGTCTCAAAAACGTATTTTTCTATATCTGGACCCGGCAGCCAGTAAATAACATAATATATATCTTCCTGCAGTAAGTAAGATTTGCAGACAACCCATTTTTGCCATCCATAAATAGGTTTATGCATTTTCTGCATTTGGTGTCCGGTCTGCTCGCATGTTGGCCGATGCTCAGTAGGTGCGTTGCGAGTTTCCGGTTGTTTTTCCTTCGACCCAGGCTTCTTCAGCGCCTCAGAGTCCATTGATACATAACGCAAAATAGAACGCCCTTGAGATAAGAGAATAACTGATTGTGAAAGATTGTAATAGTAGTGATCTATATTGACGGTATATATTAATAGATGCCTGCTCGTAAAATAATGTCCATTTTGAATGGAACACACAACTCTTTGCCTTATGGTTATACATCGTATAAACAAAATCAATGATAAGATATTGGCACTGGACATATAATTTATAAGTGAACCAGTGATGATTTTTATACATGGGATTGTACGTATGTCCCTCCCATGCATGTTGCTAGCAAAAGTTGATTCAGAAAGGGTGCAAATTTCAACATCAAATTCAAATAACAGATGTAGGCAGGAAACTTCTCAATCAATCAAGGAAGGTTTTGTAGTGTTCGGAATCTACTAGACTGTCTATATTGCCAAATTTTTTAAACTGTTCCTGATTATAGCCCTTCCCGTGCATAGTTGTTAGTGATGATGTATTCTATTGGTTGATTAATGATCACATCCAATTTGTTAAATATGCCTAGACCCATTGCAAGATTACATATTATGATATGATTTCAATAAAGGTAGAAACTGAAGTGAATACCTCCAACCTTCATTGTGACAAACCTCATCTTACAACGTTCAGCACAATAGATTATCTGGTTCATTCTGTTTTTAGATCAGGATTGCAAACAAAACTGTGGATACTGACTGTGGTTATGACACAGCTGAATTCATATTGTTATGGTGCTACAATGAGTTATCGAATGGGGAAACTGAAAATTAGTCCCACCATGATCAAGCAAATTTTTCACTTTTATCACAATATGACAGCGGATATGTATACAATGCAGGATCTTTTAAAATTCAAAAACTACTTATAAAAGCAATCAATGCAAAACAATTTTCTTTGTTGTGATAAAATTTCCCATCATTAGGCGAAGTTTTCCGAGACATTCGCATTTCCACAAAATGTACACCCGCCACTTCTTTTTGAAATCATGAATCTCCTCTTCACCTGCCGTGTTTCCTTGTCTGTTGTCCTTATTTACCGAAGTATTAACAGGGGGGAGTGAGTCTCCAGGAGACTTCTTCTTATCCTGTGAGCCTTCGCCATTATCGGGTTGTTTAAAAAACCTTTATCCCTGATTCCTTCATGCAGGCTCTAGTAAACGATTTTCCGATTGACTTCTTTTATTTAATTGTTTACTAATCTTTTTAAAAATTGCTAATTTGAGGGGAGGCGGGGAGAAGTTGCTCGACTATATATCTCGCAGAAATTTCAGTCACTGCCTTTGTCTATTTCGTACTTCAAGAAATTATTCACTCATTTGAAGAAAAATTTTTCCAACGTTGGGAAAAATAATTCTCATTAGTTGTATCAAAATATGTGATTCTCAGTGCTAAATATTTCTTATTTTAAGAAATTAAGTTCTAAGCGAGATTTTGTTTCCTATAGTTTGCACAAAAACATTTTTCTTTGCAAAGAAAAAAATTCTTGATACATATTTTTCACTTTCTTCTGCGCGCATCTTTTCAAATAATATGCACCTCACGGATGGACGAGAACGATTTTAAGACACCAATCATGCATTATAAATCACAAGCCAATGATTTTGATATTCATCAAAAACTTGACTCCGTCTCCGTTCTTCATAGCGCGTTATCCGAACAAAAACATCCATTTTTGAATTAGCAATAAAGATCGCTGTGATTCGGTTTGTTCATGTGTATAAGACATCGTCGTCGCAAGTGTGTTTTGGCGCGAAATATACTAGTAATTAAAAAGTGTATGTAACCGTATTTATCTACGTCACAGTTTTGTCTGCCAAGAGTTGTGGTGCACACAGCGTTGGCTAATTTTCCGACGCGCGATTCGATTTCACTCGCATGATACGGCAATTCCTCCAAGAGGAACAAATAAACCGTTCTTTTGATGCTATTCGATTAAGTTTAAATCTAATTGGGGTAAGAATATATTTAGTACATGTAGATTCTGGTCCTATTTTAATAATATCGCTGCTTTTTCGCCGTTTAACAAGATGATGTGGTCGTGTATGGGCGCGTTGACACGTCGCGTAGTTTGCACAGGATTGAAGATTTAATATAACTATATAAGCGCGAATTCCAAAGGCAAAGTGTAAGACAAAGTGAACGTATCATGCGGTTTATTTTCATTTTTGAACGATTGAACTTTTCAGTTAAAGTACGATGTGCTTCTGAATTTCGCGATCGAATAACATTTAGGTTGGCAAGGCATCTAAATGAGGCGAACTGTAGTGTTTATGTTCAGAAGCTTTATATTGAAGACTGTCACGTGCACGGCACGCCGGAGTCTTGTTTTTTAATCAATGTAATTAATCAATATACAACATTTTACATATGTTTTACATATTCTGTACGTGATATACAGTATATATATAGTTATATTGTGCAAATTATGATGCACTTAATTTCTACGTTATAATTATACATTATTATATCTTGCAGGCATTTCTTTAATCTAAAATATATTCGATAACTTACTAACATTTTCCGCCATATTTCTTCTATAATCATGCTTTCACCGGCTCAAGCAAGCGTTTTCAGCAATGATAAAAAATTGACTTTATCCCGTGTTTCAAAAAACCAAGGTGCCGTTATATCAAGCAACACGTTGCAGATAATGTTTAATAACTCTCACTGCTTTAGCTTCTATGGAATATTTTTACTCCACCATAGAAACTGTTACAGTGGCTGAATGTTAGCTGCAGCCATTAGGACAAACATGGACCATGGTGGATCACGTGTGAACCAGGGAACATAAATTGGTCGAAGTCAGGAAAGGCAAAAACGTTAGTAAGTAATCGTCGACACATAAATCACAACCTATGGCGTGACATTATGACTCTATCTAATTACGTTTATACCAAAACTATAGCTATTCAATACAAATTACAAATACACATATTACATATATAGACCTAACAGAAAAACGTTCATATATAGCAACTGTTTTTCATATTACCAAAATGCTACGATCTTTAAGAAAGTAGACTACCGCATGCGCGTGTTTTCATATACTTATGAGTTATGTGATATCGAGGGAAGTACATAATGACAATATCGTTCTCATTATTTTCAGTCTAATCTTTACCAAAATTTTTGAGCAATATTACTGGCATATTTGCAGGCAACAAGGCGTGTTTGTATTCTGGTACCATTGATTTCACCATTCTAGCTAGGGAATCAATGTCATTAATCAAACCTTTTTCTGGGCCAATTTTTAATTGACAAGATTTTGGGAAAGCGTCTACAAACAATTAGGGCTATATTTAAATAACAATTATCATGCACCATTCGAAATGTGCCCCATTAAAAATGTACCAAACAAGATATTTTAATCGTTATTTTTCGCTGTTTTTAAACAACGCAGCACTTGAAGAAATTGAAAACATTGAGTTCCAAGTGTTTTAACTTAAGATATTTGCGGAACAAAAGCCCTCGCAGAAAACTCTCAGTGGCTATTAGTCTTTTGGCTCAATTGATGGTTGAACTATGACAAACGCGTTTGGGATTTTATTGCGAAAACATTCAGTTTAGTAGCTATCTATGTCGTGAAATATTCCGGATTTCATTTTAATGAGATCCAGTTTAGTGTACATGGTAAAGCATTTAGGAGTTCATTCTATGGACATCCACGCAGTTTAGTGTTTATTGTGAAACATTTGGGATTGCATTTAAAGACGTTTAGTTTAGTGTCTCTTGTGACTATGAAAATGAAAGCTGTTGGCTTGGCCAATTTTGCAGAAACATCATTGAAAATCTCACACAAGGTATGAAAATGTAAGACTTTCTACTTATAAATGATTTCTATATTTTCTGCAGTTAAACTACGCGTATATTTTATTCCCACTGATATTTCCTTGAATATGTTGTCTTACAACCTACTCTCTATATATATGCTTACTACAGGAACGTGCATCAACGGCGAGGCTCCCCACCGTGGAAAACTACAAAATGTTTAATCAAAAACTACAAAATCAAAATGCTCATATTGAGTGTTGCAGATAACTCACGTAAAATGCAAATCGTCGAGACAATTATTTAAGACAAGTATATGACTAAATGGAGACTACTAAATTTACCCCGCAACATCCCTACTAGTACCTCGCTACCACATTTAGGTTGAAACACTGTCGTCATTTGGTGTCTTCGCAGTCTTCATGAAGTCGATGCTCGCATACTCAGTTGGTACATTTTTAGGTAGGCTTTCCGCTGGTTTCTTCTGTGACGGTCTTTTCAGCGCCTCAGAGTCCAGAGATAAATACAACTGAAAAATAGGACGCTCTTGTTGAGATGAGTGGAAAACTGATTGTTGCAGGAATATGATGGACTTGTCAGGAAATTTCGTAAAAAGTATTTTGCCACTACGCAATTTATGGATATATTTGTCTGTGGTATAAACCAATCTCCCAAACATTAGTAGTTATTACGACCATAAGGTCCCTGGCATAAAGCATCTTTTTTGTCGTAAAATAAAATAGTACATTACCAGGTAAAATGTGTATGTGAAATTTACATGCATGGTATGTGAGCCCGGCAGAATGTATATCCATTATCTTTTTTGTAATTGTGGATTCCAACCTTACATACCGTGTTTCCTTTTCTGTTTTCTTTATCGACAGCTGCATAGACGTGGGAGTCTGCAGCAGGCTTCTCCGTTTTCTGAGACCCTTCACTCTTATCGGGTGTATCGTAGGCGTTTCCATCTATGGCCTCCATTCCGTGGTTTGAGATCACTCTAGAGCCATTTGGATTAACGTTACTGAAATACCAGTGACGAAAATTAAGATATATTGTGAGAGTAATTGTACGAAACAAAAGCTGTATGTATTATATGTTTATAAAGTTATATGTCTGAGAGCATTTTGAAGCTATTCGCCGCCAGTTTGATGTGTCCTTGAAAGTGGCTTTCTCTCAATGATGTTGCTTTACTCTACGATAAGGTCATCGTTCTTTTAGATTTTAGATAAAACCGCCTTAATTGCTTATAGCACATTAAATTTGTCCTATGTTGTTTAATATCATGCACTTATTTGTCAGTCAGTCGTGATTATAAGCCACGAAATATAGCTACAGTATAAACTGTCTGCAATACGCATAGAAATAAAAATTACATATAGGGAAGTAGAAATCTTTTGCAATTAAATTTCAAATTAAGAAATTACACCTACCTTTTGTTGCCTCCTAAAATAACAAAAGATGACAATTGTGAAAACATTGCACAAGAAGATTTATATAAATATAGCCTGCTGCGGTCGGTCGTAGAAAACTCTTCTTAACTACTCCAAAATCCACAATTTTGATCGACCAATTGATTCTCTATTCCGCATGCAGTATAGAAGGAGAAAGAAAACCTGCAGGGTTTAATGTATGGTACCGACCATATATTAAAAAATTGAAAATCAATGAGATACAATTGATAGAGGTCGGACTTCGGAGTCAAATAAATTGTTTTAAAATAGCTTGAAAAAGCATCTCTTACACGAAATCAGTGAACTTGCAATGTTCAGTTTCTATTTGACAATAAGTTCCAGTCCTCTTTCGATGTTTTTCAATCACCTGGAGACCTACTGGTGTTAAATTTCAAATGGTGGAAACCAGCTGGCTCAACACCTTAAATAGCTTACCTTTTTTTGATTTATAATAGAGAGCGGCCATGCCAGCCAACGCGGCCCCACCAGCAGCAGCTCCTGCAGCAATGGCAGGAATGTTTGATCCCTTACTACCATTATCGTTAGTACCATTACCTAAGAAGAGAAGAAAAACTCCTAGAATTATGACCACAATTACTGCCTTCCTAATGCTCGCGGGTCCTACTTTTTTATTTTATTCACTGTCGAAGCAGGGGTTATGCATGAGTAGCGATACTAGCAGATTAACAAAAAATATAAAAATATCCATAGCCCTATGCACGGAAACCACTAAGATCATTTGATATTATATTTTACAACAACGAGAAGTGAAAAAATAATTTTGTTTTGGCGAATGGCAGTGGTTGCGTTAACGCCACGGTTACGAAAACAACAATATTTGAAAACAACAATACCTAGCCATTACACAGGATGTAATGAATATTCTGTCTAATTTCTAATCTATTGCCGCACTCTACAGAATGTAAAAAAATTGCGTAGATTTACGAGGATTTGCCCGATTTTCAAACTTGCTCCTATTTTATACACCACAATCAATGTGCTACAATGTCAAGGTTCAATCTTTGTATACGTAGACGTATTTTAGCCTTTCGTGTAAAATAGTACCCTGACCAAAAAAGGTTGGAACTTTATTGAACGTGGTCCACGAATAAAATCTTTACTGCAGTGTAAAAAACTTATAACATCTTTCGCTAGAGCAGACGAAAATAATCAATAGTTGAAGTAAAATATATCAGTTAGGCCACTTTTAGTCACAAATATATATAGGGAAATATCAAAATTAACTTACCTTACGTTATGTATTCATTTCTCCGAAATAAAGCAATATGTCAAAATATATGGCATGCACATAATCCAAAAATATATACAGTATGTTTACCTGTCATTTGCTCTAGTACATAGTATAGCAGAAGCAATCTTCGATATATTCGAAACAATAGATTGCCTCACCTCGAGCAGATACATCACCGAAACGAAAGATCGTGAAACTTTGGAAACACTTAATCGAGTTAACCGACAATTATTTAGAACTGGACTGGACATTGTCCTCGTCGTTTTTGTCAGTGTGATAGTGGATAGTCTACGATATAGACTATAGCCAAAACATGATATTTTTGTAGTTCCCAAAAATTGCCTATTTCGCGCGTGTATTTCGTCTCATTTATATAGCTTCCCAAAGGAAGGGTTCCCGTTTGTTAACTAAAATTTATTTCGCTTTTTCTCTGGCCTAAAAATGCAAGTATGGCCCTATTTGCTGCGTTACCTTTTGGTGTCGATGACGAAGTGGTCGTGTTTGTTGGTACTGGTGTTTTTAATGATGGCATGACAGTTGGTGATGGCATGATTGTTGATGATGCCATTATTGCTGATGATGATTTTAATTCTATAATTTAAAGAGAAAAGAGTTTTAGTAAAACCCTATAGATCAACAAAACTTTATATAGACGCTAGATTATAGGCTAATGGAAACTATTTACGTTTTTACATTGCCTATACATCATAAGCATGTAGGGCGATTGCTGATTGGTCTAAAACGAAATTCCTCCTTGTTAATCCTTTCTACTATTACTAACGTCTTGACGTTCCTTTGCTTAAAATCACCTATATGCATGACGTTTAGCTTTCACCCTATTCTTTTGTTATTCTTCAACAGATCCGTTTTACTAGCTAACAACGAGAATGTTAATACAATAACATATCTGAAGGTATAATACTTACCTGGGACAACTGTTAATATTTTGGAATCAGAATCGTTTCCCAGTGTATTATTTGCAGTGCATTTGTATGTTCCAGCATCCTTCCACGCCACTTTGTGTATGACATACACGTTGCCGGTAATATTGAGATCAGTATTATTATGGGTAAAAGCATAATTGAGTCCAGGAAACCCATCAGATGCACACGTTACGTTTACTGATCCATTGATCACAGCTGGGTTCATTGAGAACTCAATGCGTGTATTCTTAGGTTTGACTAAAAAAAATTGTATATTCTGATATTAAATACTAAATGGCGTGACAGCTTGATCTGGTATTAAAAGAGTTCTGTAAAACAGTGGCAGATTCAGGGTAATTCAAAATAAATTACATAACCAAATTTCGAAAATGATTGCAAGTTAGACCTGTAGAAATTTATTCTCACTTATCCTGTATCCGCCCGCTACTGCGGTAAAACTCAGTGATAGCGCAGGCTAAATAGGGCTTTAAGGCCAACGCACACTGGGCGCGATTTGTCAACGCGACGTAAATTTTCAATTTTTTCAAAGAATATCACAACAAGATGAAACATAGTGATTTTGTAAACTGAAAAATTCGCAAAAATCGTGTCAGGTCGCGTCGCCGGATCGCATCCGGTGTGTCATTTAGGAGTTCAGTAAGGAGGTTCGTTAAGGAGTTCACATAACGTTAAGATCGTAGATCACAAATTTACGTAGCACGAGACCAAAATTCAATTTACCGAGAAAGGGGGAAATTTGATCGGGGTATCACACATAGCTACGTCATTACTTTTAAGCCATATACTAACAATAACAGATCGACTGTCGTTATATATAGCGACATAAATGTATACTTGTACCAGATTTACCCCAAAATAACCTCGTATAGTTACGGTCAATACGTGGAAGACCAACTTCAGCTACTGTGGGGCCAAGGTATTCTATACGAATATGGCCTGTACATAATTAACAATTATTCAAAGGAGGTCGAGCAAAATATCGTGATTTGTGGTGAGATCAATTATTTGCCGAGTTTTATCATTCACTTAATTAAAAGTTTGAATGCTTAAAAGTTTTTTGTGTTTTCAACATATTTTCCTTTCAGTAAATCAGACAACTCAGCTTCACTCAACTGCAAGTCGCCATTGTTTACAGCGATTGATGGCAATGCGCATGCTCAGAGTATCACCTGCGGCTGGGCAACGTTTTCACCAAATGCGCATAATCATACTATTACCTGTACACAATTATTTGCAGGTAAATTAACCAATCAAAATTTAGAATGCTATAAAGTGAATGATAATTCATCTTACCTGGATGGATAATTCATATACTTACATTTAACTTTTACATTTATAGACGTTTCATTCCGTGCAGTATGACTTAAACCAACACACTTGTATTTTCCACTATCTTGTTCACTAACATTACGCCGTGTTAATAATGCGTTAAGCTTCAATCCTTCCTTCACAATCTTGCCGTCATTGCCATACCAAGTACACTTTGCTGGAGGGTTGCCATCTTTACATTTACACTCACATATGACATCATCGCCTTCGTCGACGATGAGTGGACTGGAACAATTTGTTGTCACATTTGGTTTCACTAAAAGAAAGGAGTTATTCTGCGAACTCGAGTCGTATATTTAACAATTAGACAACGAGTCCGAGTTGTCTATGAGCGAATAGTCAACGAAGGCGAAGCCTGAGTTGACTATTCGCTCATAGACAACGAAGGCGAGTTGTCTAATTGTTTTAGTATACACTGAGTAAACAAAATGGCTGAAAGATTTGGGAAGTTGAGTGATAGCCGGGAGGGCACATTGGAGTTCTTTTTGACCGCCAGTGTATTATATATATATACACTGGCGGTCAAAAAGAACTGCTCAAAACATGTTAAAATGCTCTCAAATGAATGTAACTGTCCCTTTAACAATATATACGAGTAAATATAGGCTAGATTATACCTGCTAAGCTGTATGAAATCTTAATATTTTATTGACCCTCCTTTGGCCTTATAATTGATGACGGCCTTACACCGGCGTGGTATATACTTTTTTTTAAGGTGGTAATCTTAATGTTCAAAAGAAATTCATCCAATGGACAGTCTTTACAGCAACCCATAAATCATGGACCCTTTATGAATTAATTTCTTTCTTGCACTATCCCCGATTGACATTGTCCCACAGATTTTCAATAGGGTGAAGGTCTTTTGACTGTACAGGCAAATCCATTTCTGTCACTCCCTGTTCTCATGAAACCATTGTTTGAATATCTTGGAAGTGTGGCAGGTTGCATAACATTATTGAAATATTGCTTGGAATAAAAGAATTATCCAAAATGCCTATAAAGCTCTCTCCTATATTCGCTTCTTATTTATGAATTTGTATCTAAACAATTTTTTTTGACAGCCAGTGTACAATAAAAGATTGATTGCTAAGATTCCAGTTACATACGATATTAGCAACATTTGAGCAGTTCTTTTTGACCGCCAGTGTATATATATATATAATATATATACAGCCGCTGTCATTAATGTTGTCCAAATCAAGTATATCAATATACCTGTTATGTGACTTATTGGTATGCACCAACTCGAGTGTGCTTGCTATGTAAATGTATGAAGCACCCGCATAGCTGATACATTTACATAGCAAGCACACTCGAGTTGGTGCATACCAATAAGTCACATGACAGGTATATTGATATACCTGATTTGGACAACATTAATGACAGCGGCTGTATATATATATATAGATATATATATATATATATATATATATATATATATATATATATATATATATATATATATATAACAATTATAAATACAATTCTTTCAATTAGTTGCTACTTTAAGTTTCATGCACTTAAGCAATCATCAGGCAACGTACTAATGAAAACACGGTTAAATTGCGCGAGCTATTAGCACAGTTTAGAGATATATATATCCTTAAACTGTGCTATTAGTTTGTTGACGCGTTTCAACGTTTGAAATATCCCGCGAGGAATTTGCGTGCGTGCACGCATTTTGTGAGCTCGCGCAATTTAACCGTGTTTTCATTAGTACGTTGCCTGATGATTGCTTAAGTGCATGAAACTTAAAGTAGCAACTAATTGAAAGAATTGTATTTATAATTGTTATATAACACGCTCTGCATTCTATGTATTGAGCACTCTGTGTTCTACAAAAGTCTATTTGGAATAGATTTATATATATATATATATATATATATATATAATATATATATAATATTATATTATATATATACAGTAGGAGGCAAAAGTTTGAGTCCAGTCGTTGTAGAATTCCAGTATTAAATCCTGGCAGCGTATTGGAGTTAAGACATGCGTGCTAGTGTTTCAGTACTGTAAACTATATTAATTGCACACTGTTTTGGTCCTAATGATCTAAATTATAACAAAATAAAGTTCTCATTCCTTTACACTGCCCAAGATGGGTAGGAAAAAGGGCAAAGTGATGGTGCACAAGGACAAATAGTTCCATTAAGTATTGAAGGATTCTTTCCTCGTAAGATCGCAGAAGTGAGAATTTAAAAAGGTGGTATGCAACTAACCTTGGAGAGGTTCGAAGAAACTAAATCCTACTCAAGCAAACTTTTAGCTGCTTTGGTCATGCTCGGTTTGGCAATATTGAAAGATATAATAGGATCCTAATTAAAGAAAAGTATCATCCAATTCTTCAAGGACATGGAATTTCATCTGGTACAAAGATGATCGCACGTCTAACTACATGATAATCACCCTAAGCACATGCACATCTTCTATGTGCCAGAAATCGTTTAGAAGCAAACTCATTCTGGTGATCTCGTTGTCATGGCTTTCCACCTCATATTCCAGATCTAAAACCTATGGAGCACTTGTAGAACCGTTTTAACCGGAAGAGGGCGAGGCACAGACCCGCCAGCCAGGCTGACTTGAGGCAAGTGGTCAACGAATGCTGGCAAGGTATTGAACGTGTGACATTAAAAAACCTATGGAATCTATGCGAGCAAGAATAAAGGTCATTTCAAGAGCAAAAAAGAGGGAACTAAGCAATGACATGCATGTAAATGCATGTTTGCACATTAAAATACGTAAAAATGAATATCATAACATCTCATAGTTGTTGTACAGCATGTATTTTTCTGTTTACTTGTTTACTTTTTTCTAGTTCACTTATCGGTAAGGTTTTCTGTAGAATATTAATATATGCTGCTGAAACAAAGAAATACAGTCACTGGACTCAAACTTTTGCCTCCTACTGTATATATATATATATTCGAAGTATAAATATTAAAGCCCAACATAGTGCTTTCAGTAAAGCCATAAGAGACAATCAAACCATTTGAGAATAATAAAAATATATTTGGTAGTAACGTTTCGTCTTAACTTAAGACATCTTCAGACTAAATGATAAATTACATGATAATTTGAATATGTAGACTAGTAATATATTTACAAGGTATCAATTTACAAAAGGCGATAACAAGGACAACGTAAGAACAAGCGGTACATGAGAGGACAAGGGACAGAGACGTCACGACACGATGACAATACGAAGTAAGGACTAAAATAAATTGAGAGGGATAGAGTTGCCTTGAACATTAAGAGAAGGCTTAAGTTTGGTGATGAGGAGACTCTCATGTATCATTAGCTCATAAGAGTCAGATGAGGAAGAGAGGATTCTAAATTCGTCAAAGCTAGCCGGGTGTCCGCAAGCCTTTAGATGCGAATGTATACTGGACATAACAGGGCTTGAGGTCTGTTTACCAGTGATGGGTGATATTCCCAAGCGCTCTGATATTCTGGTGTGTAAATGACGCGTGGTTTGGCCCACATATACGACGCGGAACAGCATCGACACTTAAATAAATAAACTACACCAGATCTCAGGTACTTAGGGACTTTATCTTTGAACGGAAAAAGTGAGGAAAGCCTTCCAGTGGAACGAAAAACAAATCTAACATCCAAATGCGGAAAAGCGGCGCTACAAAGACGGTTGATTTGAGTGCGAATCTGAATGGAGTGTAACCCAGTAAAAGGGAGACAAAAATAGATGATTTTCCTAGGTGCTGTTAGGATAGGCAGTTTTGGAACGAACGTATTATCGAGAAATTTTCGGACCAGACGGTCGAATAAATGCGAAGGAAACCCGTTGACCTGGAATAACTCTCTAACAATTTCGAGTTGGACGTGAAAGTTTTCATAAGTCGAGCAGAGATTGAAAATGCGATGGAGTAAACATGATTTTAAGCAGCGTTTATAACTGAGTGGTATAAAGCTATGGAAATTCGTGAAGAGACCAGTAAACGTAGGTTTACGATACACCGAAGTCGTAAACTTCCCGTTAGAGCGTAATATCTCAACATCAAGAAAAGGAAGCTTGCCATTGTCTTCCTTGTCAGATGTGAAGGATATATTGGGATGTTGTCGGTTGAGATAATCACGAATTTAGAATCCTCTCTTCCTCATCTGACTCTTATGAGCTAATGATACATGAGAGTCTCCTCATCACCAAACTTAAGCCTTCTCTTAATGTTCAAGGCAACTCTATCCCTCTCAATTTATTTTAGTCCTTACTTCGTATTGTCATCGTGTCGTGACGTCTCTGTCCCTTGTCCTCTCATGTACCGCTTGTTCTTACGTTGTCCTTGTTATCACCTTTTGTAAATTGATACCTTGTAAATATATTACTAGTCTACATATTCAAATTATCATGTAATTTATCATTTAGTCTGAAGATGTCTTAAGTTAAGACGAAACGTTACTACCAAATATATTTTTATTATTCTCAAATGGTTTGATTGTCTCTTATGGCTTTACTGAAAGCACTATGTTGGGCTTTAATATTTATACTTCGAATATATATATATATATATATATATATATATATATATATATATATATATATATATATTTATATATATCTTTGCCAAACAAGTGGAATTAGTTCAGATAACAAGATGACGATGAAGGTATCTCAGTTGGTACTATCTCAGAAGGTACTATCTCAGTTGCATTCAGGAAACGAAAATTCGTCATCTAAACTTGGCCTTATATCAATCTTAAAACAATACTGGCTGTTAAACTATCCCTTTATTCTAGGGTGCGCAATTTAGGACCAAAATAATTCTATGCTAGATAACGAGTAAGCAAATATTAAACAAATTGCCATTTCCCTTGCAATTGTGTAGAAACATGCAAAAAATCACCTTACCCACATACTAACGCCGTATGGGGCATGACCAATTATTTTAGTCCATATATTTTTCCAAATGCATCTTTGAAAGTCAAAATGGCTCGCTCAGCATTCCCTTTTACTTTGTAGTAAATCTAGTTATTATATTATATACTTACAAAGGACAATCAACTCAATTTCTGTTAATTTTTTGCCTTCTCGTGGCTTTCAGCAACACACGTGTAGTTTCCGCTGTCGTCTTTATCAACGTTTGAGAATTTTAATTTTGCTTCTACAATTCCTGTGGCCATAATTTTGTTTCCTTTATACCACGTGACGTTTGCAGGGGGGTTCCCACCCTCCCCTCTGCATACACATGAAAATTCATCGCTTGTATTCACTGTGTTCACACGGGAACAACTGATTGACACCGATGGGGTAACTAAAATGCAAAAAAATTGTAAGGGGCAACACAAACTTTACACTGTTGTTGATATTTTCAAAATGTTATATTCACAAACCGTTTCTACAAAGGCTGATCGACCCTTTTAGGGACGTGAAAGGCAAATAAATTACATCCACAACATTGACAACAATAACATTCATGCACAAATAATAAAGCCGGTTTTCCACTAGGAATTTTTCGATCAAAGGAAATTTTTCTCGTGATATTCGTTTCAATTGCGAGAATTCGACCGTAGCGGATTCCCTTCACCTGTCACAATTGAAGAGAAAATCGAGCGAAAAATTTCGTTCGGTTAAGGCCTGCATGGTTCACACCAGCTCCTAAGAATCGGGGATCCATTGTATTACTTTCCGATAGACAAAGCATTTTGCGCACCCGCGACCTCATGCGGACAAAGGGAGTCCCAGATTCTTAGGAGCTATGTGAATCAGGCCTAAATAACGCCATTGTAAGGAGATGTGAAATTTTGTACAAATAATATTAAGGGTTATTATAATATAATACTTATAGTACGCGCGTGCTGGTTGGTCGAGAAGCGTGTTTCTATAACTGTATAAAAACACGGACTTTTCCCGTCGAAGTGTCGAACTTGACAAGCGAAGTAATGTAATGAGAATTTGTAATTGAATCGACTTATAACATTTGTAAAAAATATTTTTATCGAGGAAAATGTTTTATATTTCTTAATTAGTATTCTGTGGGGGGAGAAACAAGAAGAATAAAGCTTTGCAAATATTATGCTCCACTTCAATATATATTTGCGACATCCTGACATGCTTTGCCGTAAACAACTGCAAATTCTAGAACCAGGCCTCAGCCAGGTTTAATCTGGGATCCCCTTTGTCAGAGGTCGCTGGTTCGCAAAATCCTTTGTCTGTCGGAAAATAATGCAATGGATCCCCGATTCTTAGGACAAGTGTGAACCAGGCCCTAGCCAAACTACATTGTGTGCTTAATTATCGTCATCTCATACCTCGGGTAAAAGCGTTTTCGTACAGGCAAGCTTTTCTCAAGCTCAACTGCTAGTCCGAACTTACCCAGTGAATTCGAGATTTTCTAGATGGCCGCCGAAAATTGTTCGGGAAAATCGATAAAGATTGGCAATGTTTCCGCAGAATGTGTGCACTTTCTCTCTCTTAAAAAAGTCAAGTATTCTAAGCTTTCAGCCTAAGTTTGTTTGTTTACGTTATGTTGTGCGATCTAAATGCTCGTTTTCAGGAAACTCCCAAACCCCTTCGGTGCGTAAAAACCTCCATGCAAGTATGTTTATTATATATATAGTAAAATAGTAGAGCTAATAAATTAATTACTCTACTGATTTTTTATAGCAAATTATTGCATATTCAGAAAAGATCAGGAGGCGTGTTTACGATTTTCGTGAGGCTTTTCTTCTATCGAATTTCAAATCATTTACATATGATCATTTACATAATCATTGAAATAAATAAATGATTTTGAAAGTTTGGCAGTCGAAAATCTGGCTAGCATTGTTTTCGATTAACTTGCACCACGCCTATTGTCCTTTTCCGAATACGTCTAAGTTATCCGGGCCCTGGGGTCGAAAAGTTCTCTTGGGTTTATGTGAACAGGGACTATCACAACTAGCAGTGGCGTAACACACGGAGGTGGGGTCCTGAGTTACATTTTCTCTCGGATTAAAGTTTCATCATCATCATCTTTATTAAGTCAGTGAAACCTACGTGGCATCACACTAACTATAAAATAATAAATATTTACATACAGTTACAGTATTATCCTAAAACATCTATTTAAAATGTTTAATTAGCTCCTTTTTAAAATTGTCGAAAGTGTCACTCAGTGCTATGTGTGCTGGTAAACTATTCCAGTCACTCGCAGTTCGGATAAAAAACAATTTTGATTAAAATTCCCAATACGCGGCATGCATTAATTAATCCCGGGTTGAAAAAATGAAACAAACCACAAATATCTATGATTGTACCCCAGAAAATGTAATATATTTGCATTAATATAATTTCGGAACAACTATACCTGATCAGCAAATCTCATGCAAAAAATATTCTGCAAAAAAAATCTGCAAATATAAACTTTTTCGGGGATTGCTATGGAAGTGCAATACTGAATAAAGTAAAAATATTTAGTGTGAAAACTTGCCTGCAATATAAACCACGATGCTAGAATCGCCTCCACCAGCTGCTGCAAGTTCAAACCTGTACGTTCCATTATATTTCTCAGTTAAGTTTTGTAAAATCAGAGTTGCTGGTTTCTCTACATTTACACGAGGTAAGCTGCTTTTTGGTATATCAGAGACATTGTTTCGAGGAAGTAATGCAATTGTTTCTTCTCGTGACGCGTCAATACTTTGAAAATACCAAGATCGAGCATTAATTGTCCCTACACCATCAAATCTCCAGGATATTCTCGCAGTTGATCCTTTTAAAAGAGTCAATCTCGTCCCGTTTGTTGGTGGATATACTGTTCCTATAGGAAAATTGTTTACAGTTTTTTACAGTTTAAAACAACGAAATAACTTTTAGTTTCAAAACAATCAAATAATTATATGCATCAAATACATTATATTATTATATGACTAGAATAGTTCATCGGTCCATCAACTAAAATCAAGCATTCTGATTGGTTCCTGAGCGGTTGGTAACCAACAGTACGGACCGGCCAGATTCGGCGGGAATTTTTTAGTTGGGAATTTTAATTGTTTTTAGTCATATAATAAATAGTTTATTGACTGAGCTTGTTTGGTCCGTACAGGAGGATACTGGTCTCGTTCTTTTTTTCGCTTGTATGGACCTCGCCTATTAAGGCTCGGTCCATACAAGCGAAAAAAGAACTCGACCAGTATCCTCTTGTACAGACCTCTCGCTCAGTCAATAACAGATATATAATTTTGAAAACAATATTTAATATTGTCACACAAAATTAAAATATTTTAAACTTTTCAACAGATACATACAGCTTGTATAAAGGAAAAAAATGGACTAATTAGCAAAATTTCTTAGGACAAAAGCAATGATCTTGAACAATACTATAAGTTCTTACAATTGGTCACGGGTATGTAGTATGAGTTTGTTAGAGGGGTATATGCATAATGATACAAAAACGAGTTGCAGATTACAGCAGGTACATGTATAAAGGCAGATTCTATGTGGACACTGCTTGACATTTGGACATTAGGACAATTTGTCAAGAAATATATTATGAACCTGAAAGTGTTTTGTACAAGGTTGTTTTGTAGTTATTTTAAAAATATTGTGGGTATATGGCATTTTCAGTACAATAAGAGCATGTTTCACAAGGTTGTATATACTAGCTTAATTGCCATGACCAAACAGAATTATAGTAACTTTCATAAGAGCACTGGAAATTACAGAGGGCAAAAATTACAGAGCTAGCAAAAACTTGCTAGCTGGAATATACAGAGCAAAACTCACCACAACATGCTGATAGCAAGCAACTGAGACCAAATAAAATAAGAACACTATTACCAGACATATTTTTTCAAAACTTTGAACCTAAAATGAAAAATGATGACCAGCTTGGCAAAGCAAGACAATTTTTAAACAACTAACTAATTATAGGGGAATACATGTACATTATTATTTATCATTATTACATACTTGTATTTTTATGGTTATCCTCAAAACAGGCTTATTTACTATTCACTATTCAAATTTGGTTCCTAAAAGTGTCACATAAACACAGACATCTAATGACAAGTGTTGAACATATGATTTTTATCATTTGTTATTAAATCATTGCTTCCATTGTTTCTTTCTGGTGACCTATTTTGCTAATGTCTCTGCATTCGCAAAGATAATAGTTTACATATTTGTACTAAAATGGCAGAAATGAAAGAAAAATGGCAACAGGCAACCATCATTCCAGCAAGTGTGATGGCTGCATGTGCATGATGTGCACATTTTGGGAAAATTTGAGGACACAAAAACAATCTCTAGTTGCACTTCTGGTATTATACATATTCTGCAGGACTTGAGTAAATTCATTATTAATTTTAAAGAAGACCAAACCTTCACTGGGGGATTACTTTTTATATATTATACAGTGTCATTACATCATCTAGTTCTAACAAAAAAAATTATTTCTTAGCTTTGATCAAATTTTCACACACATTGCTTGCACAAGTACTATGAATCTATGATATACATATTAAAATAACAGCTCAAATACACAATTAACGTATGCGAATAAACATCACAAAGCTGCCCTTTGTAATCATCCATAGACTAGTATAATTATTATTCATTGTGACGTTACGTTATTTTTTAGAACTTCATGTTCGTAATTTTGCAATTCGAAATATTCGAAATGTAGGAAACAATAAATAGGCCTTAAATATCTGTCTTACTCGATTGGTGTTTTTATGTATTTATGTACTGTTGCTATAGCATGGCCAGTTCCTGTCAACTTTGTAAAACATGCCGTGGCAACAGGGGTATTACTTGGGTCTATTATTTTTCCAATTCTTCATAGAGCTTCTTCAAAAATAACTCATGCGCATAAAATACGGTGTTGCAGTTAATTCCGCTTTCTATTTCGATACTACGCCTAGTATTTGGCAATACACAAATTATTACAAAACATATTGTTCAGCTAGTTCTCAATGTTATACTGAATTGTTATTAAACCTCGAAAAGTGGCTAAGCTTTACATTAAAGAATTTGAATTATCTACATTATCAATGCGTCCAAATTTTCAGGCTAGCTCCAAAGCAAACCGTCACAGAACATCAGCCCTATCATTGCTAATATAATACCAAATATAAATATAAAACATGCCCTTCGCACATAGTCCAAGATGGCCGCAAATGCTTGCAATTGGCATTGTTTTTTATTTCTTTCATGTAGAAGCAGAGGAATAATATTAAATGTTCTGTATATAATATATGTTGCTGTAAGAAATTTGGTACAATATCTCTTATTAGCGAAAACGTGGCGGCTTTGTTGCTGGTTGATGTTGTTGGTGCTTATAATTTAAACTAAAACGATACTCACTTTATAATACGATAGCTATTCCCGAAGTTCTCAGAAACTTCGAATGGGATGATCTATATGGTTCACATCAAATATAGGCTCTGTAAGAACCAGAAACAAAGAAAAAACACACAAATATTTTACCTACAACGATGTTTCTTGATCTATTACAAGCAATAATTCGCTAAGTTTCTTTCACTTCCTGGTTCATACGGTGCAATACATCCTCCCTTCTGGCGCTACTAGTCAGGCCTGTCAGGGCCACCCGGTCAAGCCTCCTCTGTGTTAGGGCACAGTTTAATGATATAGTACTCTGTGGTTAGGGCCAGCCCAGTGGGCCAGCCTCGTACCCAGGCGCTTTATTGGAAAACATAAAGGCTGCATTCAGCGTAATATAGAGATCTGTGGCTAAGATGTGCGAGCCCGCAGGGGTGTTTGGGGAGGACGCGACGGGAGAGCGAAGCCCCTGGCAGAATATGCAGATTTCCGGCTCCTTTTTTGAAAAAGTGGGAAATGTGTGAAGGTTAAATATGTAGATATATTTTGAAAAAGTATTGAACCTGTGATCAAAATTGTGGATGATTTGGAACGATCGTTTCAAGAACTATCATTTGAAGGTAGCTTTATACTGTATTTTTTTATTTTACGACAATTTTGACAAATCTCGTTTCGTATTAAACACTGTAACACTGTAATGGGTATACTCCTCGGTGTTACTATGCAGTCGCGCAGTTATTTACCACTGTTTAAATTCGTCTTAATTTCCTTACAAAAGTATCATCAAGCTCGGAGGAGGCAAGATATGCGTTTGGTATAGAAGAATTGAGTGTTAGAGGTGAGTGCGTAGTTGCCTTGAGCCTTTTAAATATTTCCTCTATTGATATTAATTTAAACAATAATACATTTTTATTTTCATTCTATATCAAATATGCTATCAACTTGCAATTTATATGCGTGTTACTAGTAATACACAATAACAAACTCCAGGTCAGATTGTTACCAGCACCCCACAGAAAGAGGAGGGAAAAGAATCATTTCAGCAGGGAAACATGCTTTAACCCCAATGCTTGGAGTTTGTGTGAATTTAACAATAAACGAGGGATTAGTACCCTCGCACGGCGCTTCGCGCCGGCTCGGGGACTAGCTTACCTGCAAGGTAGGGATTGCTGCGAGCATTTTAGGGTCCAAGTGAATTGTTATATGAAATGTTAGTAAACTAAATCCGTTTTAACTAATAGCAATAGCAGGTTTAAAAACGTAAAGTGAACCTCTATTGAGCGTTAACTCGCTGGGGCTGTACATGAATTAATACCTATTAGCGAGAACACTGTCAATGACGTCAATATGTAGGTCAATATATGCTATATCAAGTTCTAACTTTTATCTCAAAATTGTTTTGAAATAGGCTGATTTATGATTATGATTTCGCGAGTAAATTTGCAATAAAGAAAAAAGATTTATAAATGTTCAATTGCCCAAAGGATTTGTAGATTGCACTCGGCAAAAACGAATCGTCTAAAAATAGCTATTTTACAGTGTCATGAACACCAATTTCCCCGGTGTTGGATAGACCCGGGTCCCGGGAGTGTTTTTCCCGCTGTCGAAGGGTAAAGTGATGTTTTGTTAGTCTTCACATGAAGCCAAACATTTACATGGACTCTTACAACAAAGACAAATAGCATATTTCAAAAACAAATATCCATGTTACCAAAAAATGTTCTATTTTGTTAAACATGTGCTACTGCTCAGGGCCCGTATTTTCGCTAGGCGGAATTTTGCGCCCAAACAATGTTTTCCGCGCGGAAACTGAAAGTACAATACTTTCAACTTTGTTGCGGGGAAAATGTCGCTACGCGCGCAAAATTCTAGCTACCTAATATTACTATTATTGTTAATACTCCTGTTGTGATTCGTATGTTAAAATATTTTTAAAACTAGCTGCTTCTAAAGACTTTGACTTCAACGAGCTGCAACTCGCAAGACAGCGTTCTCTCCTTAATACTTTGCGCTCGAGAAGACGTGTAATCAGAAACCACACGAAGATCCGGTAAAAAACCTGAATAACAAAAACATTTAGCTCATTGTAAAATAGGAATAAAAACATATGCCTATGCTTACAGTAACCTAATATAAAATAAGTCAAACATTGCACGAATCTGAGTGATTCAGTCAGGCAATTTAGACGATCAATTGCATATTTTATCTGCGACTGTGTCATGTTATTGAACGCGACTCGCTAGCGTCAAGCATCATTTGATGCAAAATATGGAAATCAGCAAAAGAATACAAATGTCAATGGATAAAAAGACTTTAAGGCATCTGTATGTAAGACTTGATTTGCTGCACAGCACTGACAGCTCAACTGCTCAAGCAAAGCGAATCAGCATAAGTTCGTATATAAACAGCATGAATCTAGCTGTGATCGATTGTTTTTCGCGTTTCATAAATATATACAAGTTAAAATTGTAAACGTAACATGTGAACGAAAGATGAAAATATCTTACCTTGAATTGTCAAAATAGAACAGAAGCTTCAAAGTTTAACAAAAATTTGAAGATCCTGTCCATCGAAATCGAAAAGCACATAGATATGAGCGAGTTTAAAATTTGTGTTCTACGCATAAAAAACGCACACGACCACAATTCCTTGCGCTAAATAAAATTTAGTTCAGAACCCCCTCTCTGCACAAATTAAACTGCTGCTACGCTTGCTCGCTTCAGGCTTGCTCGTTCCGCAGCAATTAAATACCAGAAGTTACTATCGCAAGGGGAGTGCTCTGCTGCCATGCGCAAAACGTCCTTTGTACAAGGTTGGCAGCAACCTCGCAGTTCGCACCCAGGGTCTTTACGGTTGGCAGCTACTGGTGCAAATCAGTAAAGTTGAGCTGACCAAAGTATTACATATAATCATAATGTACATAGGTCAATGACTGATAACCTGCATGCTGACAAATATGTTACCTACGGTAACTAATATGGCCATTTGGCCTCGAATTATTAATACTATTGTTGGACGGTGTTTTCGCGCGTATTCTGCGGTTCGCGTCTCGTTTAATGGCTGCTAAAAGCGACACCGGAGGGGGGGGGGGGGATGAGCCCGTTGTTGTTTCGGGAAGCCTTGGTTCGCTAGCAAGCATTCTGTTTATACCATGTATTTAACACATAAAACTCAATAAATTCAAAACATAGAACAAAACAATTTTAATAATGAACAATTTATGTTTATTTAAAATATGAAACCCAAAAATAGCATTATTTTTATGGCAACGCTCGGTACGAACTGGGTTCTAGTTGGCGTTAACTATTAAGTTTAAGTTCTATTTTACATATAAAGTAGAAAAAGGAGTGACATGTAAACCGCTGAAATTCCAGGCCAAAGTCAGGATGTCAAAGTGTAAGTGTAAACGCTCCTTACTAAAAGATCTAGGCTAAAGTCAGGCCTAGGCTAGGCTCAGGCTTGTAGTGTAAACACGGCTCCCAGACCTGGGGCCGGTTGTATCAAGCCCGTTTAGCTTAAACGGTGGTTAAGTTCAAAACAGAAAGCAAGTCTATCGTTTTACTCAACAAGCAAACTAAATGTTTTTGACCTTAATACAAAGATACTGTTTACAAATACATATTTAGTGCATAATATTCAAGTTCACTCATTCAAGACAGATGTAAGAGTGTTATTTAATTTTGACTTATCCACCGTTTAAGCTAAACGGGCTTGATACAACCGGCCCCTGGTCCAGGTCATGTCTGGGCCTGGGCCGGTTGTATGAAAGGCGTTTAGTTTAAACGGTGGATAGGCTAAAGTTTAAAAATACTCTCATACATTTTGTGAATGACTGAAACTACATCTTTTGGATTAAATATGCACTTCCATTGAAAATTGAAACTATTTACATCGAAATTTTTCAGTTTAGTTATTCGATAAATAAATCATTTTGTTTTCCATTTTGAACTTATCCACCGTTTAAGCTAAACGGGCTTGATACAACCGGCCCCTGAAGCGTAAACGCGGCTTTTAAGGCTGCCTGAAAATCTTCGAAGAGGTTGGCCAAAGACCACAGTCTCTTACCATATAGTCACTTCACAATAAAGAATGTTGCACTATTTGTACAGTATAAAAGATCGTTTTATAAGGATTCGTATGCATTGGTTGGCACGTTTTGTAAATCAAACGTCCAATTTTAAGTTAAAGATTGATAGTTATTTTCCACTTCTCTCGTTTTGTTCAACTCTGCATAATTCGACTCATCGTCAACACCGTCATTTCTTGCAGCATTCACTCTCAATGACTGGTAATTCTTCGTTCATTTTGGTAAGATCAAGTTCTTGATAAGTTAAATCAACTTGGGATTTTGGTGGTTTAGGTTTTGATTGTTGAGATTTACTATTTCTGAATTTACGACGTTGGCATGAAACAATGTAAGAAAAAGTAATTCCAATGATTATTCCAGACACCAATGATACAACGACGATATACCATTCAGTTTTACCATTACATTCTTCTGAAATCTTACCTGAATTAAAATCAGAACGGATAAACCTATAAGTGATGGTTCTTATTAGTACTCTGGTATATTTACAATAATATATACACTATATTCTATACACTCATCGTGTACTCTAGGTATATCCTTGTACATAACTGTACATATATTAAACATTAAGGCCAAACCTATCACACAATTGTACACATTCTTTTAACACAAATACCTGTTCCATCGTCTGTCGCAGTCGTGGTTAAAGCAGGCTTAGTCTCGTTGCTTGTGGACGATACCGTTGGTTGATATCTGTTTCTCGTACGACTTTCCGTTAGTGAAGTTGTTGGTGCTGTTGTTATAGCATTTGGTTCTTAAAATATAAAATAATTTACTAAAAGTTTTTTATACCTTTTTTAAAATTCTTTAGTAATTCTTTTATGGCCGCTCAAGTCGATTTTCAACTCACGGATATAGTGAAACAAAAGTGCATGGAGGTCCAGTGTAAAGGCTGTTTCCATTACATTGAATAGCTTCGCCCGCGTGGTTGGAGAGACCTTCAAAAATCTGCTCATGCGACCGTGACGGGCCAAAGAAGTGTAATGAAGAATCGCATTAAGGCAGAATGAATGATTTAAGCCCTAATTTGCAATCGTATTGGTATCGCTACGCTCGGTGAGTTCGGAAAACGTCCACCCTCCCGAGGTGCGTAGATCCAGAAACGTACTGAATGAACTTGATTGTTATGCAACCAAATGGCCAATGAACTCAATACACTAGTCAAATAGACTATGGATCCGCGGCAAAAACTGACTTGGGTCTTGGAGTATCAACATCTGAGAAACCTCCGCATTATGTGAAAAAAAATGTGCAGCAAGGCTGCAAGCGAATATAATATGGCAAAGGTGGTATATAAAAGCGCATTGATCGGTCATTAGGTTTTTTAGTACGTAGTTTGAATATTTCTTTAAACAAGACCTTATTCAATTTGTTTTCACATTTCTCGCTTCTCTTCTCTTCTCCCTTCTAAAATGATCCGGAAATTGTTTAATTCGATTTATTAGTTTAAGGTTTATAATCTTACTTTGGACAGGTAAAAAACGGGAAGATGAAAAACTTCGTCCAAGCAAGTTCCATGCGACACACGTATACTTTCCAACAAAATTACTCGTCACTTTATCAATCTTATACGTCTTTTTCCCACGAAGCCGAGTAGTTCCGTTGAAATATATTTCATACTTTGGTGGAGGAAGAGCATCAGCCTCGCATATTATGGTAACTGATGTTTCATTATCAAAATCAAATTTTAAACGTGTACCTTTAGGTGGATCTAAGAAGAAATTAGAATTGCAAAATCACCTTAAATGATGTCGTAATTTGCGTCATATCTCATGTTTTGAACCGGGTATTCAGTAATCATATTGATTTTTTGATTTTAACATCTTGATCAGCCATTAAGACGCGAGGAAAAAATACCAAACGAGTATCATTATAACCTATTTAGAGTTATTTTAGCGAATACGAAAACGACATATGGCAAATATCCTAGTGCAAAATCAATGAAGCATGATAAACAATTTAGGAATATGTATACGGAAGGTTGCGTTGCATAATAATTATATATACTTCCGAAAACTTTCAAAAAAGTGGTAGAGGGGATAGTAAAGGTCGCTTATTCATATAAACATAATTTGAAAGTTCAACCCGTTGTTCAACCTAAGTCGTATGTTATAATGTAGGCAATAGTATTGAGTGATTAGTAACATTTTGTATCTATATTTTTTATACTTACAATTGACAATCAACTCAATTTCTGTTTCATTTTTTGCCTTCTCATGGCTTTCAGCAACACACGTGTAGTTTCCGCTGTCGTCTTTATCAACGTTTGAGAGTTTTAATTTTGCTTCTACAATTCCTGTGGCCATAATTTTGTTTCCTTTATACCACGTGATCTTTGCAGGGGGGTTCCCACCTTCCCCTCTGCATACACACGAAAATTCATCGCTTGTGTTCACTGTGTTCACACGGGAACAATTGATTGACACTGATGGCGTAACTAAAATGTGGCATAATTTGCGAAGGTCAACCAGGGCCTTATCATAATTGTGGTAGGATGTGGATTGTGGTAGGATGTGGAAACTGTCAACTCTGGAATAAGTACACAATGTGACTGATGTTACTATATACAAGTGGGTAGGCAACCTCGTACCAGGGGATTTTGTATGGGAAGTAAAGGATATTAATGAGGTGTATAGAATAATATACATGATAGAATAAATACACAATTACTGAATGACTGTTATAAAATGAACAGTAAAACAAAAAAAGAACTAAATAACAGAATAGTAACCTTGGGCGTTGACGTTAAGACAGACGGGTATGAGTTTTGAAATAAAAAAGCTTTCCGAAACATTAATTCAGAGGAGTTATCACCCGAAGATACAATTTTTAAAATATCAAGATGTATATATAGGAATGAAGTAATATACGCAATTTTCAATCAGTACTGATTTGTAAAATTAGTAACATTTTGCATCTATATTTTTTTATACTTACAAACGACAATCAACTCAATTTCTGTTTCATTTTTTGCCTTCTCGTGGCTTTCAGCAACACACGTGTAGTTTCCGCTGTCGTCTTTATCAACGTTTGGGAGTTTTAATTTTGCTTCTACAATTCCTGTGGCCATAATTTTGTTTCCTTTATACCACGTGACGTTTGCAGGGGGGTTCCCACCTTCCCCTCGGCATACACACGAAAATTCATCCCTTGTGTTCACTGTGTTCACACGGGAACAATTGATTGACACTGATGGCGTAACTAAAATGTGGCATAATTTGCGAAGTTTATTGTATTCACTGTGTTGTAATGAAAACAACCGACTGACACTGATGCCGTAACTAAAATTTGACATTGTCGAACGTTTGTTGTTGACATTTTCATAATATGATATTTAAAAATGCGTTCACACAAAGCTAAGGCTGATTTCCCCTTCTAGGGTCGTCGAAGAAAAGAGAGGCGAAGAAGGATGTTAAAATGAGGATTATAGCGGCATTGCAAAGCTGACCGTTTACTAAGAATAGTGCGAATCTAAAAGGAGTGTGTGTATGTCCTTTAGATTCTATTTTGAATTCAAAGAAGCATATAAATTTTGGCACATTAAATAACAATTAGTTAAATACATTTGAAACACACTCACACACTGGATATATCATTATTTATTCACACATGCATGCATGTGCGTCTGTGATGATTAATGAAAGAACAGAATCAATAACTTTTCCGGGGATTGCTATGGAAGTGCAATACTGAATAAAGTAAAAATATTTAGTGTGAAAACTTGCCTGCAATATAAACCACGATGCTAGAATCGCCTCCACCAGCGGCGGAAAGTTCAAACCTGTACGTTCCATTATATTTCTCAGTTACGTTTTGTAAAATCAGAGTTGCTGGTGCCTCTACATTTACACGAGGTAAGCTGCTGTGTGGTATATCAGAGACATTGTTTCGAGGAAGTAATGCAATTGTTTCTTCTCGTGACGCGTCAATACTTTGAAAATACCAAGATCGAGCATTAATTGTCCCTACACCATCAAATCTCCATGATATTCTCGCAGTTGATCCTTTTAAAAGAGTGAACCTCGCCCCGTTTGCTGGTGGATATACTGTTCCTATAGGAAAATAAACCACTGCTTTTAAAAGGCTTTTATACGGTTCACAAAATAATTACTCGAGCTAAAGCGAGAGTCAGTCAGTTTTTTTCGCGCAAGACTAAAAGACTATACAGATAGCGCATGAGCACTGCCACTAGTACTTGAAACTTTGCCGTGTTGGCGAAATATGAAAGAGGCACGTAGATGTTTATATGCACATGACTATATATGCATGGGTCATGCACTATATACGGTTGACCGACTGATAACGTTTCGGGCCTCGGTCTTGATCAAACTTAAAGTATAAAAACTACAAATATATAGCTTTACTTACTTTTTATGCTTTACATTTTACAATGTAAATTAAAAATAAATAAAACATACGAAAAGTTGTGATGCAAGCATAAAGATTGTTTATATATGACATGCATATATACTAAGGTCTGTTTAACGTCGAAAATTTCATGCGCCGAATCGAATGCAAATAAATTCACAAAGACTCATTAACATGAGGTTCGGCACGCCGAACGTTTGGGGGACTATGTCTGTATGTCAAACATGGCGGCAGTCGACTTATTCATTTATGTTCCATGAGACCCCGAATATAAAAATGCTCGCGGTTCCTGACAAGACAACAGACTATAAAACATCTATCAGAAGTGAATTGGATCGTGTGAACAAACCTTAAAGCCCCGTTTACACTACACTCGATTTATTGGCACGGCATGGCTAAAATGGGTACCCGTGCCCATTTCATCTGTGCTCGGCCTTTGTTTTGGTTGCCTGAGTACTAATAAAATTGGGTACGGGTACCAATTTTAGCCGTGCCGTGCCGATAAATTGAGTGTAGTGTAAACGGGGCTTAAGCCTGGCCTAAAGGCCCGTTTAAACTACACTTAACTGGCACATTGGCACGGCACGGCTAAAATGTATGGTATATTACCCATATACCTAATTTTATTAGTGTCGAGACTACCAATAGAAATGGAATAGAATGGATAAAATTAGTTCGGCCTAACGGGCCTATACGGGTACCAATTTATTTGTGAGCTGTACCGATAAATTGCATGTGTGCATGTAAACGAAGCTTAAATAACCGACTCCTAGCTGTTGTCATTTTGCTGACACGTATAGATGCCGATTCGAATAGAAATTATTAAACAAAGAATTTAGCTCATCAACATTAAGTTCGGCACATATACAAGTAACCCTTAACAAGAAGAACTATAAACCGGGTAAAGAGAAGACTTACCACTACATGGTAACAGCAGGCCGCTGAGGCCGAATAAGATAAAAACACCATGGGCGAAGCGAAACATTTTGTTTTAAATGTATAACCTGAAACTGAAAGAAATAAACTCCATACTTTAAATAAAATAAGAGGTTATATTCTGTCAAGATAAAACGATTTCATGAAAGTGTCGTCCCAGGAAAGCGAGCTAGTCCGGCTTTCATGTAAAACTTGTATTTTAGTTATTTAGTATGTTCACCGTTCACGTACGACAGTACAAACTGATCGAAGATATATATATTATAGGCTGAAATACATGCATCAAATGGATAACGGTAGATTCAACAAGGTTGCGATATCATTCCAAGAGTTAGTTCTCACTATAAATATTATACTTATATTATATTTATAGATATGTAATTAGGGATTTCGAGGTGCTTAATTTAAAAATTTTAATATCGTTCTTACATAGATCGATGAATATAGATAGCTACGTGGACCAACAATCACTTGGCAAGCTAAAGCATGATATTTGTATTAAATACATACCAAAATCACTCACATTGGACCCAAGAATTAGGCTAGGAAAGTGCTACTTTCAGGGATGTTTTCTTGTTAATCTACTTCCTGGTACATTGTCAGTACAAAAAAATCGGTTTAGGGAATTCCTTAGGAAGTTTTTGAGAATTCCCAATGGTAGTTATTCCAGTAATTCACAATTCACTTCCGCTTCATGTATACATCTGCATTGCTATAATGGCATTTTTCTCAACCTAGTACCCAGGGTCTCATCTTTCTTTGATTGTTCAGTAAAATTTTATGTGTACCCGAAGTCTCCATATACTCACTTTTTCGGTTTCATATATATGTAGATCGTAATTCATCGTAAGTCACAACACGTCACTCGTTGTAATTCGTTACTTGTGATTGTATATTGATGTTACGTTGGTTTTCTTTCCTGACTCGACCTGTAAGAAGTCATGATCATCATAAATTGCATTTTTTGAGATGTGTTCATGGACGAATTTCTTGGGTGGTGCGCAAATGTCGACCTAAGAACGATGATAATTGATAAATACCAATGTCAAAGAAGAAGAGATGTTTCTCGTACAATTAGAGAAATTTTTTTGCCAAATTGGACTCGGTGCGGTATTCTATAGGTAGTATTATATAGACAAAAGTAGTGAAAACATACCTTTACACGATATTGAAAAAGCAGGATAAGCGGTACAACTGAAGTATTCAGTCTAATACTAAACTTTTGCAACGATATGGAAATTTGTACGGCCAATAGAGTATATATAACGACTCGCGAAATAGCGATAGAAACTGACACGTGTGTCATTGAGACAAACATGCCTGCCCGGTAGTATTTATTCTGCCGTTCCTGCAATTGCTCGATGGCATGTTCACAGCATGGAAAGGTACGAAATGGCAGGGAAACTTTCTTCTCCAAGATTAGGGTAAAATATTTAAATGCACTCGCTATATATTACTTTAATTACGAATCTTTCATTATAAAGAAAGTACTTTTCATATTTTGAGGTATAGTTTATGCAGCTGAAACACAAGTAGTTCCAAAGGCAGCCCAGAAATGTTTTTGTTCTCGTGACGCGAGTCTACTCGATCTATTAGACCGAGCTAGTTCCGAGTATTTCCTGCTAAGTTTTTGCAATAATCCTAATAATGACTCCTGATATGACATCAACAGATTTTCACATTGTTGCATGAAAAGCCTAAAAGTTTCAGCAGTCTCTTAAAATTTAATTAGGGAAAATATCGGGACATGTGTTTATTTACAAATGTTTATAAAGAATTTTTGTTTCATACAAGATCGATTGCAAACGGCGCTTCCATCATGATGTCAGGCTTAGGCCAGGCCAAAGTGTGTTTACACCACGAAGATCTAGGCCAAAGCCAGGCTCACGCTTGTGGTGTAAACACGGCTCTAGAACACGTCTATAGGTAATATGAGCTGCGTTCACACTGTCTTCCTCGTTGATAATATCAGATAGCCAAAGTAATTGACAAAATACTTGCGGCTTTACAGTTGAAATAGCTTGGCTTTGTAAACTTGTATATAGTAATACATGCATGAGATGACGAAAATCTTCGAAGATGTTGGCCAAAGTTTCTTACCATATAGTCACTTCACAATAAAGAATGTTGCACTATTTGTACAGTATAAAAGATCGTTTTATAAGGATTCGTATGCATTGGTTGGCACGTTTTGTAAATCAAACGTCCAATTTTAAGTTAAAGATTGATAGTTATTTTCCACTTCTCTCGTTTTGTTCAACTCTGCATAATTCGACTCATCGTCAACACCGTCATTTCTTGCAGCATTCACTCTCAATGACTGGTAATTATCTTCTCGGTTCATTTTGATAAGATCAAGTTCTTGATAAGTTGAATCAACTTGGGATTTTGGTGGTTTAGGTTTTGATTGTTGAGATTTACTATTTCTGAATTTACGACGTTGGCATGAAACAATGTAAGAAAAAGTAATTCCAATGATTATTCCAGACACCAATGATACAACGACGATATACCATTCAGTTTTACCATTACATTCTTCTGAAATCTTACCTGAATTAAAATCAGAACGGATAAACCTATAAGTGATGGTTCTTATTAGTACTCTGGTATATTTACAATAATATATACACTATATTCTATACACTCATCGTGTACTCTAGGTATATCCTTGTACATAATTGTACATATATTAAATATTAAGGCAGAACCTATCACACAATTGTACACATTCTTTTAACACAAACACCTGTTCCATCGTCTGTCGGAGTCGTGGTTAAAGCAGGCTTAGTCTCGTTGCTTGTGGTCGATACCGTTGGTTGATATCTGTTTCTCGTACGACTTTCCGTTAGTGAAGTTGTTGGTGCTGTTGTTATAGCATTTGGTTCTTAAAATATTAAAATAATTTACTAAAAGTTTTTTTATACCTTTTTTTAAAATTCTTTTAGTAATTCTTTTATGGCCGCTCAAGTCGATTTTCAACTCACGGATATAGTGAAACAAAAGTCCATGGAGGTTCAGTGTAAAGGCTGTTTCCATTACATTGAATAGCTTCGCCCGCGTGGTTGGAGAGACCTTCAAAAATCTGCTCATGCGACCGTGACGGGCCAAAGAAGTGTAATGAAGAATCGCATTAAGGCAGAATGAATGATTTAAGCCCTAATTTGCAATCGTATTGGTATCGCTACGCTCGGTGAGTTTGGAAAACGTCCACCCTCCCGAGGTGCGTAGATCCCAGAAACACGTACTGAATGAACTTGATTGTTATGCAACCAAATGGCCAATGAACTCAATACACTAGTCAACTATAGACTATGGATCCGCGGCAAAAACTGACTTGGGTCTTGGGAGTATCAACATCTGAGAAACCTCCGCATTATGTGAAAAAAAATGTGCAGCAAGGCTGCAAGCGAATATAATATGGCAAAGGTGGTATATAAAAGCGCATTGATCGGTCATTAGGTTTTTTTAGTACGTAGTTTGAATATTTCTTTAAACAAGACCTTATTCAATTTGTTTTCACATTTCTCGCTTCTCTTCTCTTCTCCCTTCTAAAATGATCCGGAAATTGTTTAATTCGATTTATTAGTTTAAGGTTTATAATCTTACTTTGGACAGGTAAAAAACGGGAAGATGAAAAACTTCGTCCAAGCAAGTTCCATGCGACACACGTATACTTTCCAACAAAATTACTCGTCACTTTATCAATCTTATACGTCTTTTTCCCACGAAGCCGAGTAGTTCCGTTGAAATATATTTCATACTTTGGTGGAGGAAGAGCATCAGCCTCGCATATTATGGTAACTGATGTTTCATTATCAAAATCAAATTTTAAACGTGTACCTTTAGGTGGATCTAAGAAGAAATTAGAATTGCAAAATCACCTTAAATGATGTCGTAATTTGCGTCATATCTCATGTTTTGAACCGGGTATTCAGTAATCATATTGATTTTTTGATTTTAACATCTTGATCAGCCATTAAGACGCGAGGAATAAAATACCAAACGAGTATCATTATAACCTATTTAGAGTTATTTTAGCGAATACGAAAACGACATATGGCAAATATCCTAGTGCAAAATCAATGAAGCATGATAAACAATTTAGGAATATGTATACGGAAGGTTGCGTTGCATAATAATTATATATACTTCCGAAAACTTTCAAAAAAGTGGTAGAGGGGATAGTAAAGGTCGCTTATTCATATAAACATAATTTGAAAGTTCAACCCGTAGTTCAACCTAAGTCGTATGTCATAATGTAGGCAATAGTATTGAGTGATTAGTAACATTTTGCATCTATATTTTTTATACTTACAATTGACAATCAACTCAATTTCTGTTTCATTTTTTGCCTTCTCATGGCTTTCAGCAACACACGTGTAGTTTCCGCTGTCGTCTTTATCAACGTTTGAGAGTTTTAATTTTGCTTCTACAATTCCTGTGGCCATAATTTTGTTTCCTTTATACCACGTGATCTTTGCAGGGGGGTTCCCACCTTCCCCTCTGCATACACACGAAAATTCATCGCTTGTGTTCACTGTGTTCACACGGGAACAATTGATTGACACTGATGGCGTAACTAAAATGTGGCATAATTTGCGAAGGTCAACCAGGGCCTTATCATAATTGTGGTAGGATGTGGATTGTGGTAGGATGTGGAAACTGTCAACTCTGGAATAAGTACACAATGTGACTGATGTTATTATATACAAGTGGGTAGGCAACCTCGTACCAGGGGATTTTGTATGGGAAGTAAAGGATATTAATGAGGTGTATAGAATAATATACATGATAGAATAAATACACAATTACTGAATGACTGTTATACCAGAGAGGTGCTGAAATCACCTAACGCTCGCCTGCACTGTTTGTCTAGAATAAGGCTAAACTCTGTATGAAAGGTATCTGTATGAAGCACAAATTACCGATCTTTTTATTACAAATTACAAGGCTAAAATCCGCTTTGGAAGGTAATATTAAGCACAAACTTCAGATATTAGTTGTGACCTCAGAATTACTGGCCAAAACTGGCCTCGGAATTACATTAGTTTTATTTGTGACCAATATAGTCCGTAGCACGGAATCCGTACGCGCTTATTGAAGTCCTCACTCGTTCGGATTATGAAAACTGTTTTAATATATCACGTTTAAATAGTTATTTTTCGTAATCCACAATGTTTTCTATCGCAACGCATCGCTAAACACCAAAAAAAGACAAATATTCTACAAACGTTTTTCACTCGCTCTCGACATTTAATTCCCGCAAAAAAATAATCTCGCAAAATAATTCCGGTAATTCGGCGGACACAACCACTGGACACAACAATGAAAACAATGACAACATGGCGAACAATAATACAATATGCTTTTTGCAATGTGCTTTTATTTAAAAAAATATGGAGTGTTGTGTACATTCGGACAAAGGTAGTGATGCAAACGACAAAGTTGTTCAAGTAAGTACGAAATCCGGCGAAACTATTCTATATTATGCCCAAGAATGGATGAAAACACAAGACGAATATGGACGATCATATGGTGATATTGCATCTAAGCTGCTTAATGAAATTTTGGGGGGTGAACAAGTATTTCCTGCATCGTGTGGTTACCACAGGAAGTGCTACCAGCTTTTCACAAATAAGAAAAATCTAAAATCCTCAAAGAAGAGAAGTAGTCAGTTTGTCGATGAAAGTAATGAAAGTATTCCCAGGTATTTCTCAATTGTTACCAGCTGAATATTATATAATGCAATGCTTTTTCTGTATATACTAAAATAATAATTAAGCAATTGATCCATACACGGTAATTAAATTGTTTGCGAATTTAATATTTTCTCATTTTTCTGCATAGCAAAACTATTGCCAAGTTGGTCTCTATAATTTTATGACTAAATTACATACAATTACAACTCATGTGGGACATACAACTACAAATCTTCATTCAATGTATTTAGATGGGAATTAATTAAAGATGGGAATTATATGTAGGAAACCACAGCAACAAGGTTCAATTCTGGGGTTCAATTCTGGAAATCCCAGTGTCAGTTAAGGCTTCCCATGTTCACCACCTGATGCTGGGTTTCCTTTCCTTGCAGCCCCTTCATGCCCCACTTTAAATTCTTAAAAAAGGCTCTGGTATTTCAGAAAGAAGACAAGACTAAGTCAAGATACCACAAGCCAGATTGTTAAAGGAACAGTGCCATTATTTGGAAAAAAATGCATTATCTGCCAAAAGGAAAAATACAAAAAAGATAGTAGAACAGGTATTATAGGTATTATTATAAAGTCTGAAAAGCAATTGTTATTTGCTGTACTTTTATTGTCTATTAAAAAAAAACAAATAAAAAACTTTTATTGTCTATTTGAATAAACTTTTTTTCACTGATGTAGTCATATACCTAATTATAGAACATTTTATTGCTGCACTATATGTCCATTGTACATGTTTGTCTAATGCCCATTTGTCAACATATAGGCATGGTCATATGGGCATGATCAGCTAGCGTGATTCCTAAATTTTCTGAGAGAATGTTAAATATGCGTCCTATAGTTATGCCATTGTTTCTGTCATATCCACTGAGCATTGCTTCTGTCATCTGTTCAATAGTTACTTTTGTCTTAGGGGCTTATAAGCCAGAACCATTGACCAAGTGCATGTCCCCAAGTGCAGAAAATGCTGTCAAAGTTGCTGCTCAGAAGAAACAGGATGAGAATGTGCTGCTTATTGTTGAAGGGGAAGATTTAATAGCAAAGGAAGCCCAGTATCACCATTCCTGCTTTCGAACGTTCACATATATTCCAGTAGAATCCAAAATATCAACTGGAGATGCTTATTTGAAATTCTGTAGTGAAATCATTCAAGAACGTATTATTGGTGGTGGTGAAATAATAAAGATCTCGAAATTGGCAGAAATTTACAGCAGATATTTGCAGCCAGACACAGATGCATCTTATTTTCAAATTGGAACTTGAAGCGGAAGTTGAAGAAATCATTCCCATCTTTGGTTTATATCAAAGTCAAAGAAATTGCAAACTGTGAGCTGGTTTGCAGTTGTGAACAAAATACTATGTTTGTTGCCCCTGAATCGACAGAGGAATCTAGTGACGAAGATGAAGTACGTGCTATGGGAAATTTAGAACCCAACGACCAGCGACAATTATTCCTCTCGTCCCAAATTGTGAAGAAAGCTATTGAGATGTCTCCACGATTAAATGTTCCAAACCCCCCGTTAGCTTCCGATCTCACAGAAGATGCTGCACAAAAAATTGTGCCAATTGAACTGTTCAATTTCTTGGCTTGGATAACTGGTGTATGCTGTGAACCAGTTTCTGCTAGTGAAAAAAAATTGGTAGAGCTTGACAACGACACCGAACGTCAAAAGATTTTGTCCATCTGTCAGGACATTATCTACCTTAAGTCCAAAGGAAGAAGAATCGTACCGAAGCATCTTATTCTTGGCCTTACAATTCGACATCTTACGGGCAGTTCAAAGTTAATTGACATTGTATCAGGACTGGGGCATTGTATATCCCCAAAGGCAGTCATTGATTACGACTCAGATCTTGCCAGATACCGTGCACAGCAAAGCAGTGTTATACCACGTGGTTTTAGTGGGTCATTTACGACATGTGTATTTGACAACAATGACATAAACGAAGAAACACTGAGTGGAAAAGGAACAACACATTGCACCACTGGTATAGTTATTCAACGGATGTCCGAAGCTTCTGTACTAGATGATGAAAATCGTCACGGAATTTCCAAGTCAAGAGGGAAACGAGTAGAGGTGTCAAGTACAGAAATAGAGCCATTCGTCTTAAAGAAAAAGCTGAGTCTGTCTACAAGATTTGAAGTTACTGACATAGATGAGAGTAGACCTGTTGGTTTTGATAACATTTGCTACGTTCTAGCAAAATTTCGCTGTGATGAAGAGGAAGAAACACCTTTACCGTCATGGAGTGGATTTTTTACACAGCTCACAACGCAGGTTCCTGAGAAAAGTCGTATTGGCTATCTTCCAATTATTGATGGCAGTCCCACGGATCTTGGCGTCGTCAACGCTGTCCTCTCCCAAAGCATAGACATAGCAGACAAACTGAACCAAAATTCCATGGTTGTTGTCATGGATGAAGCTGTTTATGCTAAAGCACAGTGGATCCGTTGGACCAAAGGCATGTTTCAGAGTCGAATAGTACTACGCCTTGGTGAATTCCATGTCATTATGAGCTTTCTCGGAGTGATTGGCAAACGATTTCAAGACGGTGGTTTACGCGATATTCTCATTGAAAGCAATATCATCGCAAAAGGATCTGTCAACGGTGTATTGTCAGGAAAACACTACAACCGTAGTATCAGATCAATGAAAATCATCTATGAGGCAATATACCGTCTCGTTATCACTGCCTTTTTAGATTCCATGTCCGTTGATGAGAGAAATTGTTTGGAACATGTAGTACACGATATGAAGGCAGCTTTTAGTAATGGAACATTTACTGAATTTGTAAAGAGTGATGATGTCCAAAATTTCGTGAGAAAGTTACATGAATTTACCAGTGAAAGAGGGGGGTCAAATCCAACCTTTGGTTATTGGTTAAGTTTCCTTGAAATGGTAGATATACTACTGGAATTCGTAAGGGCAACTAGGTTAGTGGACTAAATAGTAATCATGCTTTCTTTCATGCATTTTATTGATTAATAGTCCTTTTTAATTATACAAGTCATGTAGTTCGAACCGATTGCAAAACTATACGCTGCAAAATATAATTCTGTTTCTATTTGTATCTCCAGAGTGGGTGATTGGTCCTTGCATCTCAGCTCGGTTCGACGCATGTTACCCTGGATATTTGCGTACGACCGCGTTCACTATTCTCGTTACCTACCAATATACTGGTTAGAAATGCTAAACCTGCCAACCAGTAATCCAGATATTCATGAGCAAATGGTTGCTGGAAATTTTGCAACCCAACGCACGTCTCAGCCATTCAGTCAGACTCCAATGGATCAAACTCTCGAGCAGACACTAAATAAGAATTCCAAAACTAAAGGCGGTGTTATTGGATTCTCAATTAACAAATCTGCTGTCCACCGATGGATTAAAAGTTTTTCTGATAGAGCAGAGATTCAATCTGTATGTGAGAGTATGGCTGGTCGCGGTAATTGTACACGTCAGAGAAAGGAAATGGATATCACACGGAGGCTAAAGGATGAGAAAGCTGTAAAGAGTGTGATCAATACCATAGAAGCAATGACAAACCCAGTTTCCATCGAGGATGACGAGTTGGTCAACATTGTTTCTGGCGCAATTGCATCACCGGAGGTCAAACACGATATTGCACGAGCCAAAACTGCTGGAGAGGAACAATGCGCTGAGTACATAGATCTACGTCTGAAGAAAAAGGAGCTGGATGTTTTTAACACAATCAAAGCACTCAAACTAAAAACGTTCTCATTAACGAGTAAGACGGTTAAGGCAAAATCGGAAAAGGCGGTGTTACAAACCACAGCGAGGGATCTTGCTCGAGTTCTGATAGTCGCGAAGTTTAATAACTTGGACTTCAAGTACGTGCTTTCTTATCCTTTGTGTCCAGTACCATTGTCGCTTGCCAACTATGACGGAACGTTAGCCAAGACTGACAAGTCTGCTATTGGTCGTCACCTAGAGAGCAATGTTGAAGACGTAAGCAATTCGAATCGTTCTACTGCGTGGATAATTGATGCCATGGCTCTAATTCAACGTCTGAAGAACATTCCCAACACATTCGATGCATTATCCGCGGAAGTACTGAAGAGTGTGATAGCTACAGCTACTCGACATCGTTGCACCAGGGTCGATTTTGTTACTGACCAATATCCAGATTCAAGTATTAAGGGTGCTGAGAGAGAGAGGCGAAAGGGAAAGGATGCTTCTGTTATCCGTTTAAATGTTGACCATGGTTCAAAGAAGACCCCAAAGCAATTCAAGAAATTCCTCTCGGTGGGGAAAAACAAGGAAAGCTTAATCGAATTTTTCTTTGAACATTGGAAGACAGTCGATCCAAGTTTTCTTCAAGGGGTTGAGTTGTACTTCGCCCATGCCTGTCAGTGTCACAAGTTTAAGGCGTCAGCAACGGTCTTGACGGTTGAATCCGTAGATGCCTTGTTTTCCGATCACGAAGAAGCTGACACGAGGATGGGATTGCATGCTTTGCACGCCTTTCAACAACACAAAGAAGTTACGATCCAGTCAGATGACACAGATGTACTTATCATTTGCATAGGTCTCTATAAACTTTTTCCTGGTAAACTGTTTATTCAACGCGGTCCAGCAGCAAAGTTGAGAACAGTGGATATCGAATCGGTAGTCAGCACTTTAAAAGATGGGGTGGCAGAAGCTCTGCTGGGATTACATCCATTCACTGGTTGTGACAGCGTCAGCTGCTGGAAAGGAAAGGGAAAAGTTACCCCATATGAACTTATGATCAGCAACCCGTCATACATCTCCGCTTTTACCAAGCTTGGACAGGAATGGTCTATTTCAAATCTTCAAATGGATGTTCTAGAGCAGTTTCTCTGCCAGCTGTACAACCGTCAGAGTGTTCTACCTTCGTTGCTAGAAGTTCGACTTAGAATTTTCATGGAAAAATTCTGTTTGGACTCCAGGCTACCCCCGATCATGGATGAAGTCACCCAGCATACAAAGAGGGCAAATTACCAGGCTGCCATACTACGGAGATCATTGGAAGCGGTGATAAATGCTCCAAGTCCTATTGGCCATGGCTGGAGTGCCTCTGACGGTGAATCCCAACTAACAGTTCAGTGGATGACCGTTGCCGTAGCTCCCCCAGAGCTACTTGAGCAAATTTACTGCTCATGTCGCAAGACAAAATGCTCTACCCGATTGTGTTCGTGTTTTTCTCGAAACATGCGATGTGGGCCTCTTTGTAAATGCACTGGGTGCGAGAATGGTGAAGAAGTCCCTTCGGACCTTGTGACAGATGTTGTCGACGACATTCTAAATGGTGATGACAGTGATTCCGACTTTGACGCTTGAATTTCTTTTTAATAAAAGGTTTTGCCGATTGGCTTTGACGCTTGCGTTTCTTTTTATAAAACTAAAAATCACATTATGATTGCATGCAATTGCATAATTTATCGCCACGTCCGTGAGTTTGTAATTTTGAAATATACCGTTAAAATGTGCATCTTTTGGTGGTCATATGACAAATAGCTTATAAGCGGCATGGACTCATGGCGGCCATGTTGGTGTGCCAAAGTGTAATTCGTATGTAAACTGTTCTCATTGTTTTGATTGAAACACACGCATAAGCTAATAATTTGGGGAAAAGGGTCTATTTTCTTGAACAGAGAAGCTCAGATAACGTTAATTAATTCCTAATTAATACTAATTAATAGAGAGACAATAACACCGAAAACATTGTATTTTCTGATTGCACTAATACATATGTATAAGTGTCTGTAATCAATTCTTAGTCCAATCTTTGAGGACTTCATGTCAAAATCTAAGCGCCCTACAAATTCCGTGCTACGGACTAATATTTCTTCCGTTTCTCGCAATCCGCGCACGTGATATCAACAGGTAAGTTAACGGACCAGGCAAAAGTCCCTGCTTTAAGCCGGGCGCACACACAACGATTTTACGGTAGTTGGTCCATTCAGGTTTAGACATATAGGCAGCCCTTGCCCAGACATGTTTTCCTTCTCGCGGCGCTCGCGCCTCGCGCGTGTACGCGAGTCTACTTGGTCTAATCTGACCAAGTATAGATTGCCAGTCGCCACATTTTGATGAAAACATCCATGTAGACAATCTAGACAGGAATCGGCCGACTAAAATCGTCGTGTGTGCGCCTAGCTTTATGAAAAAGACAAGATTGGATTTTTATATCTACACAAAAAAGGATTATGCATCAAACAACGAAAAGGTATGTACATAAATCTTATAGGGCCCTGTCTACAATTTAACTGGCTTTAATAATATATTTGCATGTGTATCTACATAAATAATATGCAAATATATGTCACATGCGTTGCCATTTGCCTTTGCATTCCGAGCCTATCGGCTTTCTACTTATAAATACTTATGTGCTAAAGCTTGTAATTGCGAATTATCTGACAATATTCTTTAAACTTTAACGTTGGACTATGTTTTATATATATTCACTCCCTGAATGATTTCTATATTAAGCGATTGAATTTTGATACGGCATGTCACAACACAATCTCATAATTTATAATTGTACATGTACAATACAAACATATGGTAGCATACAGGTGAAAATATTTGAAAGTTTCTCATTTGGCTTAGGGTTGTACAAATACTTTCGTTAAATATGATTCAGCTACAACTTTGAACTAAAAAAGACAGGGCTACACAATAGCCCTGAAAATCGTAATGAGCGTGATAACTCTGGATAACTCTAACATTGACCTTATCATGATGCTAATAAGCTTAACATTTGCCTTATCATTTGATAATTTTGAGCAAAGCTCTCTTTATTATTGTAAAATGTGTACCAAATGGCACTGAATAGTCACAATGCATATCGATGACTTATATTTATGATGATTCCTCTGATGCAAAGCCATAATATTTAAAAAATATAGCATCTTAACATTGACCTTATCATTATGCTAATTAGCTTAACATTCACCTTATCATTTGATAATTTTGAACAAAATTCCCATTATTTTGTGTAAATGTGTACTAAATGTCACCATATAGTCACAAGACATATTGATGAGCTATATTTATAAAGAATCTTCCAATGCAAAGCCATAATATTTAAAAAATATAACATCTTAACATTGACCTTATCATTATGCTAATTAGCTTAACATTCACCTTATCATTTGATAATTTTGAGCAAAACTCTCTTTATTATTGTATAAATGCGTACCAAATGGCACTAAATAGTCACAATGCATATTGATGACTTATATTGATAATGATTCCTCTGATGTAAAGCCAAAGTATAGAAAAAATATAGCATGTTAACATTGACCTTATCATTATATTTTGTTGTATAATGTTCACTCCCCCCTGGTAAATGGTTCTTTTGCAACAAATAAACTCCTTAAGTAGATAAGTTGAAAATAATGGGAAAATAAAAGTGGCATCTTAACATTCTACTTATCATGTAGTGTGGACGCGGACGGGGACGAGGACGGGGACGGGGACGGGGACGGGGACGCCAAGACTATAGCAATAGCTCTCTTGCACTAAGGTGCAGGCAAGCTAAAAATGCGTTCACACAAAGCTAAGGCTGATTTCCCCTTCTTGGGTCGTCGAAGAAAAGAGAGGCGAAGAAGGATGTTAAAATGAGGATTATAGCGGCATTGCAAAGCTGACCGTTTACTAAGAATAGTGCGAATCTAAAAGAAGTGTGAGCCAATGCAATCTAATGTCCCTTAGATTCTATTTTGAATTCAGAGAAGCATATAAATTTTGGCACATTAAATAATTAAATAACAATTAGTTAAATACATTGGAAACATACTCTGGATACATTAATTTTTATTCACACACGCATGCATGCATGTGCGTCTGCGATGATTGATGAAACAACAGAATCAATAACTTTTCCGGAGATTGCTAAGGTCGTACAATACTGAATAAAGTAAATATATTTAGTGTGAAAACTTGCCTGCGATATAAACTACGATGCCAGAAGTGCCTCCGCCAGCTGCTGCAAGTTCAAACCTGTACGATCCATTATATTTCTCAGTTACATTTTGTAAAATCAGAGTTGCTGGTTTCTCTACATTTACATGAGGTAAGCTGCTGTTTGGTATATCAGGGACATTGTTTCGAGGAAGTAATGCGATTGTTTCTTCTCGTGACGCGTCAATACTTTGAAAATACCAAGATCGAGCATTAATTGTCCCTACACCATCAAATCTCCAGGATATTTTCGCAGTTGATCCTTTTAAAAGAGTCAACCTCGTCCCGTTTGCTGGTGGATATACTGTTCCTATAGGAAAATAAACCACTGCTTTTAAAAGGTTTTTATATAGCTATATATATAGTTCGCAGAATAATTACTCGTCGAGCAAAAGCGAGAGTCAGTCAGTTTTTTCGCGTAAGACTAAAGGACCAAATGCATGTAAACATGCAGATAGGACGCCATTTGGCAACGCGGCGTGATTTTTCAATTTTTTTAAAGCAAAAAAAAGCAAATAAATTTTATCATTATATTCTCAGTTGTAGATTCACTTAACGATAATACATTTTGACTGCTCTGGCGTCCATGCATTGATTCCAACTTTTGCTTCCAGAATATAATTTATATATTCTCCAATCGAAATAAATCTTCCTTTTCCCCTCTTAAAATATAGATAACCCCAGTTTTAACTTTAATAATCTGCGATATTTTTGCAGTGCCTGGCTGCCAATCTTCTGCTTATATTTATAAACTCCGGCTAAAAGCACAAGCAAAAACACTCCTTTATGGCTTTAGCTCGAGGAAACGCGAGCGTCTTGTAGTTTTTATTTTTTGAATATTCCGGATTTCGCAAATATATGCGTCTTCTGCAAGTTTTTCAGAACTAATAACAAAACTTAATCAGGATCTATAGATAATATAGTCAAATGGCTCTCCCAAAAGAAATTAAATTACAGCATCATACAAAAAAGACAAAAGCAATGTTTATAGGATCTTTTTATAATTTGAAACACAAATGGAAATAACTGGAAAACCGTCATCTAGTCCAGTTTTATCCAGCATCTTCTCCCACATAACCACTGCAGGGCACTGTGCCGACTTTGATGATTTTAAAATTCTTTCTTCATGTTCTGACAAACATGAACTCATGATTCATGAAAGCCTCCTCATCTCCAAACTCAAACCCTCACTTAACATCCAGGGCAGTTCAATCCCACTTAGTCTTCTGTAACGTGTTTTCATAGTTTTTGTATTGTGTTTACGTCCCTTCGTCTGTGCGGCTTTGTCATGTACTATCTTATACCTTCCTATCTGTCATTAATTTACATATGTAAATAGATTATATATATATTCAAATCTCATGTAATTTTATATCACTTGTCTGAAGATGTCTTAGGTTAAAGACGAAATACATTTACAAATACATTTACAAATATATTTACTTTTAAACTTTAAATTGTTTTGATGGCTTTCTTAAACGTTATATGTTGGGCTCTCATATTTATAATAAGAATCCGTTTTCCGCCTGGCAAATCTCTAGCTACGATATTGAAACACAAAGTTGGGAATGATCAAGTAATCATTAATGGTAAACATGTTACTCGCTACTCCTCTTTTCGTCGTTTGGGAGTAGAACTAGACGAAAAAATGGGCTGGGATAAGCATATAGATGCAACATGCAGAAAAGTTGCCTCCGGCATTGGAATTATTTAAAGAGTAAAACAATTTGTACCGTACGAAACTTACCAAAGCAAGCAAAGGAAACAAAAATACAAAATCTTTAGGCATCTTTAGAAATATGATAAAATAATGTAACTACTGAGCCAGACATCGATTATTCTTATTTTTTATCTTCTTTAATACTTACATGCTTATTTGTTTATATTATAATACTATATTTAATACATGTACATATGTATTTTTAATCTTGTAATTGTGTGACGCCCCTCACGAAAACCATCGACGATGATGAGGGTAGCGTGGTTAAATAAAGTTTAATTGATTGATTGATTGATTGATTATTTGATTGATTGATTGATTGGTTGAAATGATTCGCTAGCGAAATATTTGCATATTTTCTTTAGAATTTCAGTAAAAGCATAAACAACTTAATTCAACAGGGCTGTTCTCATTTTAAAAGAAAATATGCAAATATTTCGCTAGAGAAATATTTCTCAGACGTCGAACTTTTCATGTGCCGATTCGAATAGAAATTAACTTAAACAAAGACTTTAGGTTGAAAAGTTTGACGTCTGAAACAGGCCAAATAATATACTGAATACCTTACATACAAGTAACCCCTGACAAGAAGAGCTACATATAAGTCAGGAAAAGCAGACTTACCACTACATGGTAACAGCATGCCGCTGAGCCTGAGGCCGAATAAAATAAAAACACCATGGGCAAAGCGAAACATTTTGTTTTAAATGTACAACCTGAAAGAAATAAAAATTCATACTTTAAATAAAATGAGAGGTTATATACGTCTGCCAAGATTTCATGGAAATGTCGTCCCAGCAATGCGAGTTAGTCCGGCTTTCATGTAAATAGCTGGGGTAGCTCGCTAGATCTATATTGTTTTGCAATCTTATTTGTTCGGTATAATTCCGTATTATGTATGCAATTTTACAAACGAACAAACTTTGGCCGAGCTTAGTCTTAGCTTCGACCGAGACGGAGCTGCCTAAAGTTAGAGTTTTAAGTGACCATTCTTTATGGAACCTAAGGAAGAGTATAATGTTTTGATGACGTATGCAAGTGGACACGACAGGGCACTTATATATATATATATATCGAAATGCATTTAGCTTAAACGGCGGATAAGTTCAAAATGGAAAACAAAATTACCTCTTTATTGGGCAAATGAGCTGAAATATTTCGATGTAAATAGCTTAATTTGCAATTGAAGTACATATTTAATGCATAAAATGAAGGTTTAGGCATTCACAAGATGTATGTATGATGTATATTTTTAAATTTTGGCTTATCCACCAGCCGGCTCCTGGGACACGCACGATAAACATAATAAACAATCATAACAAAAATATGGTTACGGCGATGGAAGTTACTAAGGAAAGCAAATGCGAGGATGAAATTCTAGAGCAATCGTTTTATTGAACCGTATTCAAACGAACCGCTTGCTAGTAATTTGATGAAAGTACAACAGACGACGAGGATGCCTGGATGGCATTTCTTCCGAGACGCTCGGGAAATCATGGTGAGTGATAAGTATCGTGTTATATATGTTATACATGTTAAGTATCGACTTTCAATGTAAATGTAGCCTGACTGAGGCCGTTTCATATAGCTACCGTTCTTTACAAGTGCCAAAGTGCAAACTCACATATTACCATAAAATAACGATTGGAACCAAGAGCAAGGTCAAGTCCTTATTACATATAAAAGTAATACATAAGACAGATTATTTGTCCTGACGCTGCTTCACAATATTCGATCTGCGGCTTGGAATATCGCAAAAAGCAAAAACCTATATTCCCATTCAACCTTTCGATCAAGTGCTTTTTATTTTGAGGTGGTTGAAGCTTTGACGACCGCTCTTAGTCAGACTGCCTTCTAACACTCAATTATCCGTACGTCTGCGTTATAATTTGTGGTTTAAAACCCAGATCTATAAAAATTACCTTGTTAGTTCCACAATTAAACTACAAAATGTTGCTTACAGTAATAATTTCTTTGGCAGATACTTACCAAATATCTATCCAAATTTTTCTACTTCCTGGTTCGCAGCAGTATTTACAAAGAATGAAGCTGACTGATGGTATTTTGAGAATTCCTTAGTAACGTTGTAAAATTCCTTATGTTGCAACTGGCAACCCCCCCAAATTACGAATCATTACCAGGCTAGCGCGACCGGTTTCCATATGTGTACGGCGAGTGTTTCTTTGAATAATACTTATAATAGTATTGACCAGCGTTTTGCTTCTTCCGGATGATGGAGGTTTTGAAAAGGAATAGTGTTAGATGAAACAGTCCGCAAGTATCAGAATCGACAGAATGTTGATGTTAGGTTAATTATAATTGCATTGCAAGTTGCAAGGAAAATTGAATAGTGTAACAGGAGGCCATAATCTCAACAATGTAACGGAACTTATTCTCCAACAAATTGAACAAAATATGCAAGTAAAAAATTTTGCAGACATAAATTCCGATACTTTTAGTAAAACAAGGTGTGGGGGAACGAGTGAAAGAATGACGGGGGGGGGGAAACTTGCGTTGCACCATACAATGTCTTATGGACTTCTTTTTCTAAATTCTCTAAAATTCTTCTCTCTCTAAATCAACGAGTTATCCCTTTAATTATTTCATAATTTAACTTATGTTCGGCATAATCTGATTCAGTTAAATATTTATATAATGTATTCCAGATGCATTACTTTATGTTAAAGATTGATAGTTGTTATCAACATCTCTTGTTTTGTTCAACTCAGTATAGGTTGACTCATCGTTGTTCACACCGTCATTTCTTGTACCTTCCCCTCTCAATGATTGATATTTTTCTTCTTCGTTTACTTTTGTAAGATCTAATTGTTGATAAGTTGAATCAACTGCTGTTATTTGTACCTCTGGGGTTCGTTCGGGTCGTGTAAACCACTTACGACGAGTGAATAAAACGATGTAGCAAAGAAGAATTCCGATAATAATACCAGATACCAATGATACGACAATGATATACCATTCAGTAGCACATTTAAGACTTTTTGAAGCTGTTTTTCCTGGAAATCGGAATTATAACATAGCAATTTTTAAACAAATTTTACGAAGACACAACTCTATTGTTGTTTACTAGTCATAGTTACAAAGATGTTTTTTGAAATAGTGGCGAGTAGTTTTTGTCAACGCAAAATGAGTACTTTATTTTTCGAAAAAGAGGAAGAGACTTCATAGACCAGTTGCGAGTTACACGAAAACGAAGCTAGTAATGTTTTCTACTCCCAAAATTCGAAAATAAACGAAAATAAACATAATTTTGATGGAATTCAGTCAAAAGAATCAGACTTGCCTCGCTTTCGTGTAACTCGCCACAGGCCTCTTGCTCATTTTTGAATAGGTCTATTATACTAAAACAACAATTCTTCTCCGGCTCGGTGAATATTGATGAACAAAAATCTCGTCAAGACTTCCTCCTGGCTTCTATATTAGCGATCACCTTGCCTTGCTAAGAAATATATATTAGTTTCTATCATGACACTCAAGATATACTCGATATACTATCTCAAGATATACTCGATATACTACAAGATATACTATCAAAATTTCACCACTTTTACTAATATAGTTTTGTGGAAATAAACTAATAAAGGACAGATGAATGTATATTTGATAATTGTTATATTCGTGTTCGTTACCTGGTCCATCACTCGTCGTAAGCTTAACCGTAGAGTTCTTGATATTCGTTTTTACCGATGACTGTGTTGGCAACGTTGTTGGAATTGACTCTTTATAATAATAATGATAATGTCAGCGAAATCATTATAAAAAAGATGTAAATCCAACAAATGCTTATCTAGACTAGAAGCTATAACATGCTTAGCAAAATCTATATCTTCTACCTTACTAAATGCTATCAAACGAAATATCTATACATTATAGACCATTAAACATATAGCGTTCTAACATTTCCAGCGAACATGCCGAATGGGAAAAATGTGTGTCAACATGAAATAAACGAATGTATAACATCAACCTTACTTTCAATAGTAAAACGGGCGAAAGCAGAACGTCCCAGCATCATTTGACTTCACCTGAAATACGGTATATGTACTCGCAGTACTGACAATTTTGGTATGATTATGGAATATGGTAAAACGTGGTGTAGGAAACCCTTCAGACGAACACGTTATGGTTACTGTGCCACCAATTTCAACTTTCATTCTTTTTGTTGAAAACATAATGATTGTATTCACAGGTTTAACTAAAAAAAGCGAATTAATTTTTTTTACTGTTATCTGCTTCATTTTGTGTAACGGTATATACCTTATTATTATTTGTAACATTGTAAATATGAACTAATTTTATAACTTCTTGGTCAGAACCAATATAATTCTTTCTGGCATTTAAAGTATTCTCCACGTGGAAAGGTCCACGGAGATATATTGGTTAAAAAAATAGAAAGAAGCTATATAGATCTTTGTCGACTCATATGAGACGTATGGGTTATTATAGGGTTATATAGGGTTAGGGTGGGTTTAACCATATACATTTGGAAAACATCGTGACTTTATTGTTGGCAAAAATAGAGTTACCTACTTTTTTATAACATCTGATAACGAACTTCCTGGTTGGCAACCTTCACTGAGTATTTACAGGGCAAAACCGCAGTCGAAAATTCCTTGACGATTTTTTGAAATTCCTTTATAGAAATTTATAGGGCATATTACGTAATATATAGACTGGTTTACATTGACACAGTCCTGATCTTTCAGGATTGCTAAATAAGAGTCTGTAAATAAAGTTGGATCCGTTTTCGGTAAGTTTTCACTCTACCTGACTCCAGCCAGTTTCTATTTGACCTGCCTGACCATAATTATTAATGGCGAGAGTAATTATTACACTAAAATCGGTCGATCGTGAGGTAAGAAAAGCTTCAGTACCCTCTTACTGGATATAGGCCTGCTAAATAAATATTAGAATCAATGTTTCAGTTTCCAGATCACCACGTTTCATACGCCGTATTTCACATGTGTCGAACACATTATAAAGATGAGCTGGAATGCCTCAGGTTTTCTTTAATGTTTCGGAACATATATAAAATACGGCGTATGAAACTGGCCTTACATGGCAGACATTTCGGTCCGAACTGAGGAATCTTTTTCACTCGGAACTCATGGAGCCAATGGAACAGAGTTACTCAATGTGTACATTATTTAGCCTAAACCAGGGAGTATTCCAGTGTTATTTATTAAGAGAGGATGTTCGACTTCTTTTTATAAAAACCAGATGTTGTCTCTGTAATTATGAAGTAAGGCAACAATCTGTTTCTAACATCTTCTAGCATCATTAACTATATCTTCTGCATAGTCTTCAGTCCCACTTGTATCCTGTATTCCAGCTTTATGATTTTAGGTTAAAGACTGATAATTGCTCTCGATATCCTTGACTTTGTTCAACTCGGTATAATTTGACTCATTGTTATTTACAGCATCATTTCTTTCAGCATTCCCACTCAATGATTGATAATTGTCTTCTTGGTTCATTTTCTTAAGATCTAGCTCCTGATAAGTTGAATCTGCTGTCGTTTTTTGCACCTCTTGGGTTCGTTCTAGTTGCGTAAACAACTTACGACGTGAATATGAAACAATGTTGGACAGAAGAATTCCAATAACAATACCAGACACCAAGGTTATGACAATGATATACCATTCAGTTGTACCGGATTTAACATCTTCTGAAAAATCGAAAATCATAACACAGACTTAAACCTAAACCAATTGTTTTACATTTTTCCGAATTATATCAACTGGACATGACGATTTCACTCAATTCTATTAGCCAATGAAAGGTTGTGAAATCAACATTCATACATGCATTCTATTCTTCATATCATGCTTAACGGTTAATATATTCTTCTTATAACACCTATACTCGATATTCTTTTATCAAAATATTACTACTACTTTTACAGATACGTTTGGTTACCTGATCTACTTGTTGTAAGATTAATAGACGTCGGGATTATATTCGTGTTCGCCGATGACCGTGTTGGCAACATCGTTGCAACTTGCTCTTGCATTTCTGGAATTATTTGAGATTTTTACTCAATCGTCATGAAAATGACAAGGCGGCTTGATACAACAGATCTTAATCTAGAGACTTGCTTACTACATTACTTATTAAGTCGCATAAGCTGGTCCTAACAGGAATAATATGTCTATATCAGATGTAGTGTATCTAATATACATTGGATACCCAAAGGTTTTTTTAACCAAGATTATTTTCGGTGATACAGAATCTGAAGGAGAAAAGTTAACTGATGCGTTGACATAAAATAAACGAATGCATAGGCTATATAATCCTCACCTTCAACAGCAAAAATGGCAAAGGCAGCATCATTTCCCAATTCATTTTTTGCAAAACATTTGTACGTTCCAGCATCATCCCACTTCACCTGACATATGGTATATGTTCTCTCGTTACCGACAACTTTGGTATCATTATGAAATATGGTAAAACGTGGTTCAGGAAACCCTTCTGACGCATGCACACGTTATGGTTACTGATTTACCAATTTCAACTGATTTTTGGGAAAACTTGATGGCTGTATTCACAGGTTTAACTGAAAGAATGAACAGAGTCAGCAAACTGAAGTTTTTTACTGCATGTGACTAAATGGCGAAAACTTTAGCGAACAAGCAAATAGCTGCTTTTCATTTGTTTATCGGTGTAGAAATTATTACATTATATTTAAAAGCAGTAAATTTTTAATATATGCACCATTTTTAAGAGTTTCTGCAGCTATATAGCTATACATTTCAGTAGTCATATCTAATTTCGAATTCAAAAATTTCCAGATGTACTTGAGATGTTGTCTATGTCAACTGAATAAAAAAATATGACAACTTACAAAATGTCTGTTATTCTGATGGACTCTTCATCCCGTGCTTTAACGTGGTTTTGGCCGACACAAGTGTATCTTCCACTATCCTTCCCGTTAAAATTACCAAGGAATAGTGTTTTAACTTTTACACCTTTTTCACTAATCTGGGTGCCATTTTTATACCAAGTACACTCTGCTGGAGGATTGCCACCTTCACATTTACATTCACATATGACATCACCACCTTCCTTAACGATGAGTGGACTGGAACAATTTACTGTAACATTTGGTTTTGCTAAAAATAAATAAAACGATGTTTATCTAGACTGCGAGTTTTCATGCTCATCAAAATTGAAAAGGATGATTTCTTGTATACATATCAGTAGCTAACTTTTTTTCATAAATATATGAATTAAACCTTTTTCAGGGTAGTCCCTTCAGCGACCACTCATTTCATTACATTGGAAACACACTCTGGATATATCAATTTTTATTCACACATGCATGCATGTGCGTCTGTGATGATTAATGATCATGAAAGAACAGAATCAATAACTTTTCCGGGGATTGCTATGGTAGTGCAATACTGAATAAAGTAAATATATTTAGTGTGAAAACTTGCCTGCAATATAAACCACGATGCCAGAACTGCCTCCGCCAGCTGCTGCAAGTTCAAACCTGTACGTTCCATTATATTTCTCAGTTACGTTTTGTAAAATCAGAGATGCTGGTACCTCTACATTTACTCGAGGTTAGCTGCTGTTTGGTATATCAGAGACACCATTTCGAGGAAGTAAAGCAATTGTTTCTTCTATTAACGCATCACTACTTTGAAAATACCAAGCTCGACCATTAATTGTCCCTACACCATCAAATCTCCATGATATTCTTGCAGTTGATCCTTTTAAAAGTGTCAACCTCGTCCCGTTTGCTGGTGGATATACTGTTCCTATAGGAAAATAAACCACTGCTTTTAAAAGGTTTTTATATAGCTAGTTCGCAGAATAATTACTCGTCGAGCAAAAGCGAGAGTCAGTCAGTTTTTTCGCGTAAGACTAAAGGACCACATGTAAACATGCAGATAGGACGCCATTTGGCAACGCGGCGCAATTTTTTAATTTTTTTATATTCCAAAAGCAAATAAATTTTATCATTATATTCTCAGTTGTAGATTCACTTAACGATAATACCTTCTGACTGCTCTGGCGTCCATGCATTGATTCCAACTTTTGCTTCCAGAATTTAATTTATATATTCTCGAATCGAAATAAATCTTCCATTTCCCCTCTTAAAATAGATAGCCCTTCTCTTAACTTTAATAACTTGCGATGTTTTTGCAGTGACTGGCTGCCAATCTTCTGTTTATATTTATAAACTCCGGCAAAAAGCATAAGCAAAAACACTCCTTTACGGCTTTAGCTCGAGGAAACGCGAGCGTCTTGTAGTTTTTATTTTTTGAATATTCCAGATTTCTATCTGACTTGATGGCAGGGCATGAGCACTGCCACTAGTATTTGACCCTTTGCCGTGTGGGCAGAATATGAAAGAGTGAAAGTTTCGGGCCTCGCTGGCTCGCTCGTGCTTAAAGTATAAAAATTACAAATAATATAGCGTTGCTTCCAATTTATGCTTTACAATGTAAATTTAAAAAAATAAACATGTTGTGATGCGAGGATAAAGATTGTTTATATATATGCATATATATATATACGAGGGTCCGTCTAAACGTCGAAATTTTCATGCGTATTAGGTGAATATATTTTGTCGTTGTCGCTGCACTTCCCATGAGGCTGATATATTTGCCGATGATTCACAAATAGGAACTGCAGCTAGGTAGAGACATAAAATCAATTACAGAAAGCTTAAACATTGACCTGGCCTAAAAAGTGTGCTTCCCATTTACTGATTGAAATTGAAAACACGCGTATTAAGCGAGTTAGCACCACTAAATCACTGCGTCTGATGCTCGATGAGACTTTGACTTGGCATTCTCAAGTAGAACTCATTACGAAGAAAGTGAACAGGAATTTTTATGTTCTGAGACGACTGCGAGAGTTCTCAGACTTGAAAAGCTTGTTACAGCTTATAAAAACTTGATCCAACCATGCACACTTTGACTATTGCTCACAAATATGGCCGGGATGCCTTGGAATTACGTTGCAAAATAAACTGCAACGCTTACAAAACAGGGCAGTCCGTATCATTACAAAGCGTAGGTCTGTGGACATACTTAATGAACTTGAGATACCAAATTTGAGTGTTAAAAGAAATAACCAATTATGCACTACATGCAGTTAGTTCCTGACTATCTTATTGACCTTTTTACGAAAACAAACGCGGTGCATGACTATCAAACTAGACAGGCTGAGCATAATCTTTTACCACCTAAGCCAAATACAAATTTTGGTAAAAAATCTTTTTCATACAGAGGTGCAGTGGCTTGGAACAATTTAACATCCAATCAAAAAAACTCTGAATCTATAAAGTGTTTCAAAAGTAACTTGATAATTAGTAATATGTATTAGTGTGATAATTGTAATTTTCATTTTCTACTATATTCTATTATTTAATACTTGTATATAACTTAACCCTATTTTTTAACTATAGACGTAAATGCACGGCCTATTGGAAGATCACTTTTGTAAATATTTTTTTCTTAAACCATTCAATGTGAAATAGTACCGTGGGTAAATAATTTAATAATAATAACTTATATAAAAGTAACCCCTGACCGAAGAACTATAAGTCAGGAAAAGCAGACTTACCACTACATGGTAACAGCATACCGCTGAGCCTGAGGCCGAATAAAATAAAAACTCCATGGGCAAAGCGAAACATTTTGTTTTAAATGTACAACCTGAAAGAAATAAAAATTCATACTTTAAATTAAATGAGAGGCTATATACGTCGGCCAAGATTTCATGGAAATGTCGTCCCAGCAATGCGAGTTAGTCCGGCTTTCATGTAAATAGCTGGGGTAGCTCGCTATAAATGAACCCTGTTCTTGTATAATCAGCACTTCAAAAGCGCCAGTGCAAATGATGAATAACTGCATTCTTGAGGTTACGACTGTAAGAATATTGGATATTGGTTTATGGAAATAATATACATGTATATATAGGATATTACTTGAGATAATATGAAAATATCTTCCTGTATATATAATACCCATGTTTTCTTGCATATTTAGTGGCCTAATTTATACATCGCCTTACCATCAACTGTTTGAATTTCAATCGACGCAACCAAAGTGCGACGTATCATGTATAATATAGGACTGTGTACCAGTGCTGTGTACTGAGAAATACGTTTTATGTGCAAAATCCCCGCACCGTGCGAGAGTACTAATTCCGCCCGGAGATTAGGAATTACACCCGAGTATTTTGACAGAACATAGCGGAATCCAAAGTTGTCAAAATTTAGCCTCCTCCGCGGGCAACTCTATATTGTTTTGCAATCTTATTTGTTCGGTATAATTCCGTACAATTCCGCAATTTTATAAACAAACAAACTTCGGCCGAGCTTAGCCTTAGCTTCGACCGAGATAGAGCTTCCTAAAGTTAGAGTTTTAGGTGACCATTTTTTATGGAACCTAAGGAAGAGTATAATGTTTTGATGACGTATGCAAGTGGACACGACAGGGCGACGGCGGATAATTATAAGTTCAAAATGAAAAACAAAATTATCTCTTTATTGGGCAAATGAGCTGAAATATTTCGATGTAAATAGCTTAATTTGCAATTGAAGTACATATTTAATGCGTAAAATGAAGGTTTAGGCATTCACAAGATGTATGAGAGTATTTTTAAATTTTGGCTTATCCACCAGCCGGCTCCTGGGACACGCACGATAAACATAATAAACAATCATAACAAAAATATGGTTACGGCGATGGAAGTTACTAAGGAAAGCAAATGCGAGGATGAAATTCTAGAGCAATCGTTTTATTGAACCGTATTCAAACGAGCCGCTTGCCAGTAATTTGATGAAAGTACAACAGACGACGAGGATGCCTGGATGGCATTTCTTCCGAGACGCTCGGGAAATCATGGTGAGTGATAAGTATCGTGTTATATATGTTATACATGTTAAGTATCGTCTTTCAATGTAAATGTAGCCTGACTGAGGCCGTTTCATATAGCTACCGCTCTTTACAAGTGCCAAAGTGCAAACTCACATATTACCATAAAATAACGATTGGAACCAAGAGCAAGGTCAAGTTCTTATTACATATAAAAGTAATTCATAAGACAGATTATTTGTCCTTACGCTGCTTCACAATATTCGATCTGCGGCTTGGAATATCGCAAAAAGCAAAAACCTATATTCCCATTCAACCTTTCGATCAAGTGCTTTTTATTTTGAGGTGGTTGAAGCTTTGACGACCGCTCTTAGTCAGACTGCCTTCTAACACTCAATTATCTGTACGTCTGCGTTATAATTCGTGGTTTAAGACGCAGATCTATAAAAATTACCTTGTTGGGTGCATCGAAAGTTACAAGGACAAAATGCCGACAATAAATTCCACAATTAAACTACAAAATGTTGCTTACAATAATAATTTCTTTGGCAGATACTTACCAAATATCTCTCCAAATTTTTCTACTTCCTGGTTCGCAGCAGTATTTACAAAGAATGAAGCTGACTGATGGTATTTTGAGAATTCCTTAGTAACGTCTTAAAATTCCTTATGTTGCTACTGGCAACCCCGCAAAATTACGAATCATTATCAGGCTAGCGCTACCGATTTCCATTTGTGTACGGCGAGTGCTTCTTTGAATAATACATATAATAGTATTGTCCAACGTTTTGCTTCTCCCGGATGATGCATGGAGGTTTTGAAAAGGAATAGTGTTAGGTCAAACAGTCTGCAAGTATCAGATCGACAGAATGATGATGTTAGGCTTAATAAACAATTATTGGATGAGGTTTTTGTGATATACAGCGTTATCAAGGTCGAGGTAAGCGTTATCAGCCCATAACGCTTATATACCGAGACTTTAATAGCAACATCCAAAAATACATCAATTGTTAATACATAAACACATTCAAATGAATACCGCTTGTTAACCACCGCAGGCTCATTTGCAGATAACTCAGTTATCCGCTAGCAGATTAACTGCTAGCAGTATTACTTTAAGTTAAAGATTGATAGTTGTTATCGACATCTCTTGTTTTGTTTAACTCAGTATAGGTTGGCTCATCGTTATTCACACCGTCATTTCTCGTATCCTTCCTTCGCAATGATTGATATTTTTCTTCTTCGTTTACTTTTGTAAGACCTAATTCTTGATAAGTTGAATCAACTGCTGTTATTTGTACCTCTGGGGTTCGTTCGGGTCGTGTAAACCACTTACGACGAGTGTATAAAACGATGTAGCAAAGAAGAATTCCGATAATAATACCAGATACCAATGATACGACAATGATATACCATTCAGTAGCACATTTAAGACTTTTTGAAGCTGTTTTTCCTGGAAATCGGAATTATAACAGCAATTTTTAAACAAATCAGTTTACGAAGACACAACTCCATTGTTGTTTACAAGTGTAGTTACAAAGATTTCTTTTAAAATAGTGGCGAGTAATTTTTGTCAACGCGAAAAATGAAGAAATTAGTGGTTATGAAGAAAATGCCGTATCTAAAAACACGAAAAAAGAAAAAAAAAGAGAAAGAGACCTGTTGCGAGTTACACGAAAGTGAGGCTAGTCATAAGTGAAAAAGTGAAAAATCGTAAGTGAAAATAAACATCTTTTCGCCGGAATTTCAAAAGAATCAGACTTGCCTCTCTTTCGTGTAACTCACCACAGGCCTCTTGCTCATTTTCGAATAGGTCTATTATACAAAAACAACTATTCTTCTCCGACTCGGTGAATATTAATGAATAAAAGTCTAGTCAAGCTAGATTTTCTACTGGCTTCTATATTAGCGATCACATTGTCTTCGACGAAAATTTACTCATGAATATATAATGGTTTCAATGATGAAACTTAAACTCAAGATTTATTACTCAAATTTTTACTGCTTTTACTAATATAGTTTTGTGGAAATAAACTAATAAAGGACGGATGAATGTATATTTGATAATTGATATGCTTGTGTTCGTTACCTGATCCATCACTCGTCGCAAACCTAAACGTAGAGCTCTTGATATTCGTTTTTACCGATGACTGTGTTGGCAACGTTGTTGGAATTGGCTCTTGTAATTCTAGAATTATTTAACATAGTGTCAGCAAAATCGATGCTAATCCAACAAATGCTAATCTAGACTAGAAGTTATAATATGATTAGCAAAACCTATATTATCTTCTACCTTACCAAACACTACCCAACCAAATAGCGTTCTAACATTCCAAGCGAACATGGCGCATGGGAAAAATGTGTGTCGACATGAAATAAACGAATCTAAGATCAACCTTACTTTTAATAGTAAAACTGGCGAAAGCAGAATCATTTCCCAATTCATTTTTTGCAAGACATTCGTACGTCCCAGCATCATTCGACTTCACCTGACATACGGTATATGTACTCGCAGTACTGACAATTTTGGTATGATTATGGAATATGGTAAAACGTGGTGTAGGAAACCCTTCAGACAAACACGTTATGGTTACTGTGCCACCAATTTCAACTTTCATTCTTTTTGTTCAAAACCTAATGATTGTATTCACAGGTTTAACTAAAAAAAAAGGCAAATTAAAGATTTTTATTGTTATCTGCTTCATTTTGTGTAATGGTGTACTTTTGATGATCATTAGTATAACATTCTAAATATGAATACTTTTATAACCTCTTGGCCAGAACCTATAATTCTTTCTGGCATTTAAAGTACTACGTGGAATGGTGCACGGAAATATTGGTTGAAAAAAAATAGAAAGAAGCTATATATATCTTTATAGTTGATGATCATCATCTCAACAATTCAAAATGAAAGATTTACTCACAAATATCTGTTATTGTGATTGCCCTTTCATCTCGTGCTTTAACGTGACTTTGGCCAACACACGTGTAACTTCCACTGTCTTGTTCATCAAAATTACGAAGGAATAATATTTTAACTTCCGTACCACTTTCACCAATCTGGGTGCCATTCTTAAACCAAGTACATTTTGCTGGAGGGTTACCACCTTCACATTTGCACTGACATATGACATCATCGCCTTTGTTTACGATGAGTGGACTGGAACAATTTATTGTCACGCTTGGTTTCGCTACAATGAAATGAGAGCAAAAAGTGAAAGTGGAGCTCACCACCACTATACTATAGTCCATTCACTTAACCAATCAAAATGTAGAATTATTTACTGTCTGGATCGACATAGTGAGTCTATTAGAAAAAACAGTGGCAACCAGTTGATTTGAGATCATGAGTGATTATGGAGTCATTGTCCCCGTTATTCCTATTAATAGTATAAATGGCACGAAACGAAAATGATAATTTACAATAAAATGAAACACCAACCCGTCTCTGAGTAGAAAATAATATAAATACTCAAAATTATATAAAATTAGTCAAATGATATTTCAGTTTAAGCGCGAGGATCTGGCTTTTTATTGCACAGTTTATTTTCGTACTCAGATCAGCTGGAGAGGGATTATCATGTAAAGAAAGCGCCATATTTTCATTGGCAGTATGATTAAACGAGGGTCACATTCATTTTTTTTCAATATTATTTAGAAGCATAGGGCGAAGTAGCAGTATCTTTATAGGAAGACCTTAAACTTAATAAAATTAAAAAGCTTGCGATTGTGAAAGGTTGCAAATGTGGAAAATACCAGCGTGGGAAGTTGGCAAATTTTGTATAAATTCGTATTACGCCCGAAAAAGCGCGTTCCTATTTTTCGAAACAAGCTCGCACAGCTATATTTTTCTCGTATATTTCAACATTTTGCTACCATACACTTTCAAATTTTTCTAATTTTGTGATACTCTTTTGCGTGGGTCAGAATTTACATCAAAACTTGCCTGCAATATAAACCACGACGGAAGATTCGCCTCCGCCTGGTGCTGCAAGATTAAACTGGTACGTTCCATTATATTTCTCAGTTACGTTTTGTAAAATCAGAGTTGCTGGTTCCTCTACATTCACTCGAGGTAAGCTGCTGTTTACTGGTTGAGGAGGAAGTGTTGCAATTAGTTCTTCTCGTGACCCGTAACTACTTTGAAAATACCAAGATCGAGCAAGAATAGTAGTTACACCTTCATATCTCCAGGATATTCTTGCAGTTGATCCTTTCAAAAATGTCAACCTCGTCCCGTTTGCTGGTGGATATAACGATCCTGAAACAAAAATAAACCCAATTTTTCAGATTTCAAGATTTTATACAGTTCGCAAAGTTCACAATTTTTTTTTAATTTTCCATCACAAGTTTGCTAGATTGCACAGATTTGGATAAATTAGAGCAAAATAAACTCCCTAATAATGCAAAACTTCACGCTGGGCTCTTGCCTCTGTTTTTTCAAAGCAAAGAGCCGCCTTACTCCGCATTTCCATAAAAAAGTAAAAAAAAGCAAACCAATAACATCACGAATGTCTCAACGGTCTAAAACAAGAAGTTTTCGTCAGATTTGCGGATTTGCGTGTAAAGACTGGGGATGACTTGCATGATTTAGCTTTAACTTCTGATTATAAAGTAACGTTCCAGTCATTTTTATTTTACTGGTTCAGCCCATGAAAAGTTCGACATCTAAACCTGGCCTAAAGCCCCGTTTACACTACACTTGATCATTGGCACGGCAGAGCTAAAATGCATGATATACTCATGCATATATCTAATTTTATTAGTGTTGAGGCAACTAATACAAATCCCGAGAATTGATAAAATTAGTAGCCACGGCCCACGGGTACCCACTTTGGTCGTGCACCGTAGCAATAAATTTAATGCAGTGTAAACGAGGCTTAAATAACCGAATCCTCAGCTGTGGTCATTTTGCTGACACGTGGTTCCTTCATGTACAAGATAAGTAAGGCCCGTTTCAGACGTCGTACTTTTCATGCGCATTAACATTAGGTTCGGCAAATGAAAAATTCGACGTTTAAAACAGGGGGTAGTGTCGCAGCTCCTCGCAAGAATTATTTTCATTGGCTGAACTTTACAATACATTTCTGTTTCAACCAATAGCATAGCTTCGTTCTTTAGAAAGCATAGAAAAGCGTTATCCAATTGGACGAAAGCTTCCGAGAGCTGCGACATGTCCCAAAACAGATCTTATGCTTAAATGCCTTGCGAACCTAAATGTTTTTCGACATTCAGAAGCAACTCGTACTTTTAAAAGTATAGAAGTTCAAAAATGTAAATAAATTGCATGATATGCATATTTACATATACATATCCTTGGCAAGAAGAACTATAAACTGGGTAATGCGAAGACTTACCACTACATGCAGGTAAGAGCAGGCCGCTGAGGCGGAATAAAATAAAAACTCCATGGGCAAAGCCAAACATTTTGTTTTAAATATATAACCTGAAAGAAATATAAATTCATACTTTAAATAAAATAAGAGGTTATATGAAAACAGTTTCATTGAAATATCGTCCAAGCAAAGCGAGCTAACCCGGCCCTCGCGTAAATATCTGCGCTGGTTCGCAGTAAATGAACCCTTGGCATGTTCTGGTAATCAGCACCCAAACAAGAATATAACTGCATCAGGTTTACAACAGGGGCGGATTCAGCCGTTGAATCTGACAGTAGCATTCTAAGATGTTACGCAATCTAGGTGGGTCCGGGGGCATGCTCCCCCGGAAAATTTGAAGCCCGGAAATGACATTTCCTGGGTTCTGAGCATCAGACTCTGTTCTGAAATATGGCCTTAACCAAGTCAGATTTTAGACAATAAGTAAAAAAAATATCATAAACAATAGCAGAAAAATATTGAAACATACTTTGTTCTCTACTGAATAGCAGAACATCAGAGGACAATCACCTCATTTACATATATACACGCGACCACAATTCCAAACCACAGACAACGGCAGGACACGTATGGCAATATCACGCGCTGTTCCATGCTGTAGTGTAGCATTACAGATTCTGCTGCAGAAATCATAAAGCGCTTTGACGTAGAAAAATCTCTGACAACATTGAACTCATTTAGGCGTTTCAGTTGCTCCATAGGTCTTTTATGGGAAAAGGTTTCGGACCCATTGACCAACCCTCCTCCTTTTTCATCCGGGCTTGGGACCGGCAATGGCGGAGTTAGGGAGCATCTTGCAATCATAATCTGTACATCAGTAGAATAGCGGAAGTATAATAGGAACGTTGTTCACTTCAAATCATCTTGAAACCGCAACCCGAAGCAAGTTACGTAAATGTTCAATGATAAATCACATCGAAACAGCAGCACGAATGTAGTTAAGTAAATGTTCACTGAAAAATCATCTTGAAACAGCAGCCTGAAGATAGTTAAGTAAATGTTCACTGAGAAATCATCTTGAAATAGCAGCACGACGATAGTTAAGTAAATGCTCAAAGATAAAATATTGAAACAGCAGCACAAAGGTAGTTTAGTAAATGTTCAACGATAAAATATTGAAACAGCAGCACAAAGGCAGTTTAGTAAATGTTCACTGATAAATCATATTGAAACAGCAGCAAGGAGATAGTTAAGTAAATGTTCATTGATAAATCATCTTGAAATGAAGGAGAAAGGCAGCCAAAATATCCACTGGTGAATCATCTGGAGACAGCAGCAAGGAGATAGTTAAGTAAATGTTCATTGATAAATCATCTTGAAATGAAGGAGAAAGACAGCCAAAATATCCACTGGTGAATCATCTGGAGACAGCAGCAAGGAGATAGTTAAGTAAATGTTCATTGATAAATCATCTTGAAATGAAGGAGAAAGGCAACCAAAATATCCACTGGTGAATCATCTGGAGACAGCAGCAAGGAGATAGTTAAGTAAATGTTCATTGATAAATCATCTTGAAATGAAGGAGAAAGGCAACCAAAATATCCACTGGTGAATCATCTGGAGACAGCAGCAAGGAGATAGTTAAGTAAATGTTCATTGATAAATCATCTTGAAATGAAGGAGAAAGGCAACCAAAATATCCACTGGTGAATCATCTGGAAATAGTAAATGTTAGGGCAAATGTTGTTTTTCTGGAATGCGCAGTTATAAAATACGATTCAGAAGAGTTTAAGCATCATTCTTCTTGGGTTTTTCTGGGCAAATTGATCAATTATCTCTTCAGTATCCAGATGAATTTTGCGATGGACATTTAACAAGGCTAGGCCTTTAATCTGGATTCTGACATGGTGCTGCGAAGATAAGTCTTCAATCGGCGTAAAACGGAAATGGACCTTTCGCAGGTGCAAGTGGTAACAGGAATTGTTGCAAAAATTTGAAAAGCGGTGAATATATTGGGAAAACTTATTTTGTCGACAAACGGTAAAACATCAGCCAGTTTAGAAGGCAGAGGACCCTTTTCCATTTGGCAACGTTCAGCCCACATTTCCAATTCAGTGTCGAGAAAGCGAGGGTAAGGCAAGTCGTCCATATACATGTTGAGGAACTTAGAAAATTTGGTTTTCCAGTCAGGGTAGATAAGAACATTTTTTGGCAAACCATACACTGCATCCATAAGGTCAAGGTTTGTCTCCGAGAATCGTGTTTGGATTTCCGATTTAAGATGATCCAAAAAGGGCACACTAATTACTCTACGGTAATATTGTGACGGTGTATCAGCTGGTGTGTTAGCGCGGTGTTGTTGCCTCCCTGTCGTTCTTGGCTGATCTGGTTGAGTTCCAACACTGGTTCCCATGGATTCAGCTTCTTTGTACCACGAGTCGTGTTCTGCGTCCACGTCATTTCTCATTTTCTCTAGATGAACGTAAAGAGCGGATACTTTTTCTCTAGCTGCTCCAGCATCAATAGCGGATTCCTGCAGTTGAACCGTGAGCGGTTGAGTCACCAGAAGACATTTTGAAACCACAACTAACGCGACAATGAATGGAAAGGACACGGTTGCTGAATATAAAGAAACAGCTTTTCGGACAGAATCTGGATTCCAATTGTCGCCGACATTGTCACGAATGATTTCCAAGCATCTAATAATTGCAGGGAAAACCTCGATAAAAACACATAAACCATCGATTCTGGCCACCCATCTTGTTTTGCAAACATTTATCAGCCGTTTATGATTCGCTGTAGGAAGCATTTCGTGGATGGTCTTGACCAACAAATCAAAACGCTTCGGAGAAAAATTAAAGAACTCCGAGCAACACGAACATGTTCCATCATATTCCTTACCAGTTGTTCTTTGCAGCAAGTGGCGACACAAAGGTTTAAACGGTGAGAGTTACAGTGAACATACAGAGCCTTCTTGTTGGTTTCTTGTATTCTAGCTGCTACTCCAGATAATCGCCCTGCCATGTTCCCGGCTCCATCATAACCCTGACCACGACAATCATCAATCGGCAAATTTTGGTCCCGAAGGAATTCTTCAATTGTAGCGGCAACAGCTTCACCAGACACACCCTTTTTGCACGGGACAAAGCCAAGAAACTCTTCTCTTATTTGACACTGCTTGTCTACAAACCGGATAACGATACTAAGCTGTTCTATGTTGCTACAATCTGATGCTTCGTCGGCGAGAATGGAGTAAAACCTTGCTTCGCGGATCTCATCAGTAAGTTTTTTGGTTATCATATCGCCACATATATCAATTATTTCATTCTGAGTGGTTTTTGATTTGTAGGTCATGTTCTTAGGAGTGCTTTTGAAAAGTTCCTCAAGAGTCTTACCAGCACACATTGCACCGTACTTTAGGATTTCAATGAAATTACCACAGTTAACCTCATCTGACAGATAGTTCGAAGAATCATCTCTATGTCCACGCAAGGGAATATTTTGCCTGCCACAAAGAACGATTGCTCCGATAATGGGTCTCAGAAGTTTTCTGTTTTCCTCTATCTGCTGCCTTTTCATATCATCCAACATAACATCAATGGGTGCAGACCTTTGCTCCATATGAGATCTTAGTACTGCTGCACGCGCTGTGGCTGCTTTGTGAAGTGGTGACTTCTCGGAATGCTCCCTGAATTTAGCGGGTGCGACCTGCCATGTGGTGAATGGGGTTTTAAAAAGCCTTTGCAACTTACTCGTATTGTGCATCCCAGTACATTCTGAACCAAACAGCACGCAGTTTATGCAGAAAGCTCCATTCAACTTTTGCGAGTACGTCAGCCACGGAAACAACTTCCTGCCGTTTACCAAAGGAAATGGAAAGTTTGTAGATGGTACCCAAACGTTGCAAAGAACCTCGTACTTCTGCGTATCAGTTAAGGAGTTGCTGTTGACAAAGTTAGCTATATCATTTGGGGAACACGATGTTTCGGATCTTGAACATTCAGGTACGTGTTCTGAAACCAATGAACTAGGTACACGTTTTTTAGACAAAAGATTCGGCTTTGGAATATCTTCGTCGTCACTTTCCTCGGCAAACTTTCTTTTTTTAGGGAATAGCTTGTCAAGAATGGTCTGCTTCTTTTTAACTGGTTGCGATGAAGAAGAGTTTTTTGCGGGTACAAAGGCAGAGGAAGTTGCCACAGGCACAGTACTACATAACGGTGGCGGCGTTTGCTTGGTAGGCGGCGTAACATTTCGTACTTGTGTCGAACTGATATTAATACCTGGTGAAACTTTCTTCATAACAAAGTGTCGAACACCTACCTTACTGCTGCTTTCTTTTGCTTCACAAAGAGCAACATAGTGATTTTTGGTCGCAGGAACTTTACCAAGCTTGGAATAATCCATAGGCATTAATGCACAACGAAATAAATGGATTTTCTGATCTGAAATTGATGTTGCTATTTCTCGCGGATATATAGTGCAGTTAAACATTGTAGACAGGGAGTCAATTTTTTCTTCATTAGGTGTAATTGGAAAATACGACTCGATTGGACGTTTAACAACACTTGATAGGGAAAGAAGACAAATAAAAGAACTCCATTGATGATTCATTGCGTTGCTGTATGCTTCAGTGAGTATTGGTGCGCAAGGATCTTCTTTTGTTACAGAACCAAGAGCAATATCAGACAAACACATTGCAAAAGTATTTGCAATGGAACTAAACGCACCTTTTTTGTGCTGCTGCTCAATAATGGGATGTTTAGCATAAAACGAAGAATTTAAAAAAAGTTCAATGTACGACTGTAAGCTTTAAAAGAATCACTTTCTGCGATGAAATCATGTTATACTGGATATTGATTTATTACCCATGAATACAATGAAAAGTTTTTCTTCCAAGTATATTCGAATACTTTCATTAACAACCGGAGTTAGTGTACGAAAACAATTTACCTGACCATATGGCCTAATCTATACATCGCTTTTTGGTCGCCAGTGGCGTAACCGCGTAACGCAACCGCTGGGGCCTCCGTGAACCAGCCATTTGAGGCTCCCCTTTGCTCAACTAGATGTAGCCTGAATGATGGTAGTTATATATCTAGGGGCACCTAAAGCTTGGCCCCCTTTGTCCCCCGTCACTTGACACCCTGACATCCCCTAGTTACACAACTGTTGGTCGCATCAAAAAGCAATTCACACAATATAAATGAGACGATGAATTTCATTTAGCCTGACTATCAGCTGTTTGAATTTCAATCGACGCGAGTAAAGTGCATGCGACGTATAATATATAGGACTATGTACTGAGACATACGTTTCATGTACATAAATATAAAAACATAATTTGCATAGGAATTTCTTCATGACCACATAAATAGACCGAAGTATATTATGTCAAAACTTGTATTTTAGTTAGTATGTTCACCGTTCACGGCAGTGCAAAATGATCGAATAGAGTGAAATATGTATGCATCCAATGGACTCAACAAGGTTGCGATTTCATAAATTCCAAGAGTTAGTTTTCACTGTAAGTATAATATTATAGATATATATAATTAGGAGCTGTCAATGTGAGAATCACAATTGTCTTAAATATCAGTATTTCTACAGTATTTCATCGACCTTATATTATAAAAGGCAGCGTTGGATTTGTGAAGACAGCTAATCTTACAAAGTAATACATAAGAATTACCTTCCTAATTCCTATATAAGTAAATATATTTGTCGAATTTTTATATTTCAAGTTTCCTCCTCCGCGGTCTGCAACGCCCAACTGTTAGCTGTTGTCAGTGACAGTGTTGCAGGAAATGTCATAATACACATGAATTACAGCATGCCATCTGATGCACGATATATGCGAGTGAAATCTGGACAGGAAATTTGTGACCGGTCACACGGGTCACACGTCACACGCATATCGAGGTTGCCGAACAGCTATCATCTGACTATTCAGTTGTGTTTTCTGTTGGGTTTAAATAACAATTAGGCAGGAGTGAAAGGACGTCTGCCTACTCGGGTAATAACAATGGATTAAAATATAACGCAAGGTTAGCGCTAATCTAGCTCCGGATTGGACGACTTGCGCTTTAGACTAAATTTTTAAGGAGATAAATCACCACAGCTTGAAAGATCTTACTTAAATTAGTGCAAATGCAAAGTTTGGCTGCGGAATTTCGTAAAATACGGAAAATATAGCCATGCGAAGTTGGCATATTTAGTATACTTTTGTATTACGTGCGGAAATGTGTAACTAAATTAGTTACAAACTTCCGGTCGTGATACAAAAGTATACAAAATATGCCAACTTCCCATGGCTATATTTTTCGTACTTTGCATTTGCACTAATTTGATCTTTTTAGCTGTGGTGATTTATTTCCTTAAAAATTTAGTCCAAAGCGCAAGTCGTCTATTGCCCCTAACGAAGACCTAGACAAGTGCCAATTGTGTAGAGGATTCTATATTGTAGGATTCCGCATGTGATATTTGAAGCCGCTACTGCGCTGCTCCCTATTTATATCGATACGGGTATGTGAGCTGTTTGTAGTTTATTTATTTTTAACTAAGCATATCGAGAATTGTTAATGTTTGTATGCCATTGTAGAGGTTTGGGTAAGTATTAATACTATTTGTTATAGTATTAATACTAATAATACACATCGGGCAGCCTTTAATTTACCAAAATTACTAAAGGCTTTACAATGGACGACCTAATTTCCAATTCAAAATACCTTAAATAACCACTCTATTGGGTATTAATTTCTAAAGATATAAAAATATAAAAATTTACCAATATGATTGCAAGCTAGAGCTGCATGTGTTTTAATTTATTCTGACTTGTTGTTAGAGGCTTAGAGCTGTTTGAATTTATTCTGCACTGCCAAAAAGCATATTATTCGCGCTGTCTATCTTCTCATTTCAAAATATTCAGATGCCTCACAGATGCTTAAGCCTAGGGGATATTTTGTTACGTTTCGCCTAAAAAAGGCATGCATGAGGTAGAATCTGGATAATGCATTTCAGACCACCTGGTCCATTTAGGACTCAAGCTGTTCAAAATTCTACAATCATCCACATAACATAATATCTGAGATAAACATCCCCTCCCGCTATGTATTGGGAATCAATAGCTACGACATGCCCACGTCATTTCAGGGCAAATTTACACTTTGTTATTGTTAGCACAAGCCCTAAAATATTGAAATAGGGGGAAGGGGGGCATAATTTGAAAAGTCTCAACTCATTTTGTGAAAAGTGGCTGAACACAAAATTGTATAAACATCATGTAGAATGTGACATAGAACCGTCACTATCAGCTGTGGTGACTGTTACCTAGACACTCTAACTCTTTGAGTATGTGAAGGAACATTAGTGATTACGTGCCCGGGCGGGGGGGGGAGGGGGGCATGTCAATGTTATATGTTACACAGTGGCTTCCATATATTTTTATCAATATTTTAAGATATTGCCAAAAAAGTTGGGTATTTGTGTGTGTTACAATTTTACTCTCAATTATATTAATCATTCTCAAATTGGTCCTCTGAGGGGAGTTTAATGATGTCGAATTCCAAGGGGTGTAAATGCATTAATTGTGTCCATAGGTGCTCAGGCCCTTAAGTTAAAATAAGCCTGGGTTCCTGTGAGCTCATGATATGTTATTTTTAAAGCAGCACAATGTGCATCATCCAGAATAAGTGAATTTTCTATTCTCTAAAACAAATTCTAATATAAGAATTAAACTAAATTCGACTTGTGCCTTCACACATTTGTTTTGCAATCGACTCTTTGGCAATAACGGATTTTCCCTCTTTTATAACAACGAACAGTACACTTGACTATCCTATGTTTTACTATCCTATGTAGATAGAACAAATGATGCACTTATATAGCACTTTTTAAATGAAGCACATATATAGCACTTTTTTAATGAAGCGTTGTTAAGTCAAAGACGCCACAGAAATTATAATACACTAAAATGGTCTTGAATATATTGTTTTGTTTCACTAACAAATGGTAGTGTCAGGATGGATTGACGGGGTCAAGGAAAAATCAAATAAGTCTGCAAAAGTCTGTTGACCTTTTGTTAGCATGTTGCCTAGCATATTGTCTGTTGCATATTCACAATATGATGTTTATCAAGTATAATTATACCGCATTATGAAGTCATTGAACTGTAAGACAAACATGCATGAATCATCAATGATGAATCAATACGTGCTTCTGGACAATTTATTGGTTAAGTGAAAAATCTATTTTTCTCTGAGAGACAAGTTTGTATTAACATACAGGAACAAATGAAGACAAAAATTTTGCTGTTTTTTCAGGTTATTGAACTACAACTTTTCTCGCCTGCAAGCCTTCCATTACAAATTATGTATTGTAACGCGTTCAGAGCTTTTTATGTGTGTGTGACCGTATCTGACTATGTGTGACCATGTGTGATTGTGTGTGACTATGTGTGACCATGTGTGACTATGTGTGACCATGTGTGACCATGTGTGATTGTGTGTGACTATGTGTGACCATGTGTGACTATGTGTGACCATGTGTGACCATCTGTGACTATGTGTGATCGAGTGTGACTATGTGTGACCATGTGTGATTGTGTGTGACTATGTGTGACCATGTGTGACTATGTGTGACTATGTGTGACTATGTGTGACCATCTGTGACCATCTGTGACTATGTGTGATCGAGTGTGACTATGTGTGACCATGTGTGATTGTGTGTGACTATGTGTGACCATGTGTGACTATGTGTGACTATGTGTGACCATGTGTGACCATGTGTGACCATGTGTGACCATGTGTGACCATGTGTGACCATGTGTAATTGTGTGTGACTATGTGTGACCATGTGTGACTATGTGTGACCATGTGTGACCATCTGTGACTATGTGTGATCGAGTGTGACTATGTGTGACCATGTGTGACTATGTGTGACCATGTGTGACCATGTGTGACCATATGTGACCATCTGTGACTATGTGTGATCGAGTGTGACTATGTGTGACCATGTGTGACTATGTGTGACCATGTGTGATCATCTGTGACTATGTGTGATCGAGTGTGACTATGTGTGACCATGTGTGACTATGTGTGACCATGTGTGACCATCTGTGACTATGTGTGATCGAGTGTGACCATGTGTGACTATGTGTGACTATGTGTGACCATGTGTGATCTTGTGTGATCGTGTGTGACTGGATATGACCATCTGTGACCTTGTGTGAACGAATGCTAATGTGGTCGTGTGCGTTCCCTGCAGCATATTATATACTGAACTGGCTTTTCTTTGTAGCGCGGACGTGTGACGTTGTGACGTGTGTGACCAGTCACAATTTCACACTCCAGATGAGCAAAAAATATATCGTGCATGGTATACAGCATGCAGATAATGTTTTTTATCATTTGGTTTCTCAATACTACAATTAAAACGTTAGGCTGAAGTTTATTATTTCGATGTGCTCCATTTAAAAATTTTAATATCGTTCTTACATAAAACGATGATATATAAAAATATAGCTACGTTGGTCAACAATTGCTTGGCAAGCTAATGCATGATATTTGTATTAGATACATACCGAAATCACCAACATTGGAAGTCAAGAATTAGGCTAGGAAAGTGCTACTTTCAGGGATGCTTTCTTGTTAATCTACTTCCTGGTACATTGACGATGTTTTCGTCCACAGCATATTACT